TGGGAGGGAGGAGGAGGAGGAGTCAAACCTCTTCGAGAGTGTTGGCGTCAAGGAGAATCCATCCAAGCTCAATGACCTCGGCAGAGTCCTTGGTAACGTACACGCCGTGCTCATCGCAGGTGGTCGCAACATGGATGACGACGTAGCGGTCGATGTTGAGCTGGGGCACTTGCTGCGAAGACATGATGGCGGCGGGTTTGCCGGCTCGGGCCAATGTTTGCGAGATGCGGGCAAGGGCGTCGAGGCTGCAACGATGGCTGGATCGCTTGCAACGGGCAGGTAGGTTGGTCGTTTGCTATACGCGAGAGGGGGCGTGCAATGCGTGAAAGCGTCAATCTGCCCTCCCAGCCGGCTGATCAAGTGCAGGCGGGACTCGGGCGGTTTGTTTTGGTCGTCTGCGATGAGGGCTTCAGGAGGCCGTTCCCAGATAAACAAGAGCCGGGAAAAAAAATGGAAGCTTCGAGCTCGGGTCGGCGGGCCGGAGAAGTGAGGGATTCGAAGAGGAGAGGGTTCAAGGTGAGCACACAATGAAAGGCCCGCTGGCGGAAGAAAAGATTGGCAGCGCGCTGCCAGGATGCGCAACACACCGTTCGCAACAAGGTCGAGCTCTGAAGTCCTAGATGGTGAGGGACTCGAAGGAGAGAACGGGAGGTTTGAGAATGGAAGAGACGGAGCGGGAAATTGGTGGTCCAGCAGTTTTCTCTGGTCGTCCACTGCAGTTACTAACCTGTTAGCTCAGGTACCTGGCCCTCCACCGCGGCCACAGTGTGTGCTCGGCCGCACTAGCAGAGGCCCCAGGGCCATTCAGGCGGGTGGGCAGCCTAGAGAGTGCCTGGCTGGGTCGTACAGCACTGCACTGCACTGCACTGCACTGCTCTCTGAATTGACGGGACAGGGCGAGGGACGGGGCTTTTTCCCCAAGGGCTCTACTGTGGAGTGGCGGTAGGTACACGTATGGACAGTAGGTAGGTATAAAACTCCACGATACCTACCTACTTACCTACTAACCTCTAGGTGGCCGTGCTGTCCATCTCCGTGCCCGGCCTCTCAGCGGCTGTGAGCCCGCTGCAGATGACTCCATCCATTGGATTTGATGGGTTCCATTGCTCCCAGCTGGCCCGCTCAGGCGCTGGACGTGCCGCAACCCTGCTAGTCGAGCCCCTCCAGCTGCTAACGTGAATGAAGCGTGCGCGCTTCTGCGACGGAGCATCGCTCCCTGGTAGATACAGGCTGTTCAATGCTACAAACAGTAACAGTCAAGGTCCAGAAGGTACCTCTAGAAAACCTCGGCCGCTGAAGTATCGAGGGCTGGCTGGCACGGTTCCACCCAATGGGCCCCCAGAAGGGGGACATCCGGTAAGTCGGAGGCGGCAACGCTGGGAGACCTTCATCAGCAAGTCTGCACTACCAGCATACATGTACGTAGGGATGCCGCTGACGGCATGTGCCACAGCGTTGCTGTCAATGGCTTGGACGACCAGCCTCAAGGACTCACAGGGCATCCTGTAGTGTCCAGAAGGAGATGCCATCTAATTAATACCTACTGTGTTCAGCTTCTAGATATAAAGTAGCTCGAGGCCTGCCGAGTTCAGGAGCAGTCATTCCGGCGCGGCCCTGGTCTAGGCACTCCAGATGCTGGCATCAGACTCGTATACACATACTGTGCTTGTACACCGTAACTTCATGTTCGATGCTTCGGCTGTCGAAGCACGGAGCCCCGTACCAAGTACTGGGTACGAAAGCACCAGGGCATGTATGGAGAATGTGCATGTAGCCTTGCCTGAGTTCCCCAGATCTAGGTATGCTGGGCTATACGCAATACGACCGCTTTACTCGATAGGCGAAGCTCGGCCTCAGGCAAGGAGGTACTAGTTGCTCCCACTTACAACAACTGCCTCACAGCTGCTAATCGCGTCTTCGGCTCCGGTGTTGATTGCCTTCACGGTAGAGGCAGAAACAGAGTGCAGGATCTGATGTAGAAGACAGATACATAGTTCTAGCCTTTGCCACCTAGGGTTGGGTCCTTCGACAGCGTAGTCGGCATATGCACGGCTCTCGTCGTCTCGTCAGTGATCAGCATGGCCAGCTGACGGCCACCATCTCCGCAGCCATCGGCAAACAGCAGCAGGGCAGAAGGAGAAGAAGCTTGACCCTCAGTACTTCTGGGAATAGGAGCTCTCTCACACCGCCGCAGGCGGATTGGGAACACTACGACGTGCCGTGCTTCTTGTCGTCCTGTTAGCACAGATTCTCACACCATAACCTACAGCCGGGTCCAGGACAGCAATGCTGCAAGCCCACAGGCCTGTCACTTTCCGAATCGACCAACCGGCAGCAACTGGCGTCTCATGCTGAATGCACATGAGCACATGTAAGGTGATAACCGACAGCGACCTGGCATGACAGAAGACAAGTTGCACATAGTATACCGCAGGCCATGGACGCTAAGCCGAGACGTCAGTGCCGTGTGGCAAGACAGAATCGGCCCTCGTTGTGCACTCTCTGACAGCTCTCCGTTGTCTGTGGCCAGAGGACATTTGCTTGCCACCAAGGATATCCAGCCCACTTACACGTTGAGGTTTGCTGCATCGCCCTGCCGGGGCTGCGTCTCGGTGCGCGGAGTTCAGCACAGTGCGCGACTCCTAACCGCATCATGCTGGATCAGGTTTTGACAAGAGTTTCTGTTGGCAGCAAAATGACGAGTCTCCTGCAATCCAGGCTGCTCTTTGAGAGGGCCGCTTCCATCCTCCGTCCTCGCTACCTAGGTAAACATCACGTACCTGCTTAAACTCGTGCCTTCATTGCCCATGCTGCTCTAACTGAACATAAGCATACACTGCTCTGAGAGAGTTGGACTTGGTTCAGGCGATGCAGGTCACAGTTCCGCTGCAGCATGACACTCGTTTCTTTTGTTCTTATACCTTTTCTGAGAAGTGCTGCCTGGTTCCAGAAGATGACCCGTCCTGAAAACGACTTGTTTTATTAGTCGGTACACTAAAAAGCATCTGCTCCCGCATGGTTATCGGTATGTCGGGAATACCCGCTCAGCGGAACGTCCTGAGGCAAAGTCGAGCGAGGGCAGGCGGCTTCTTCGTGTCAGTGTTTCCACCTTTAAAAAAAGGAGAGTCGCCTTACCGACCTGGCAGAGGAGCCATCTAGCTTGAGAGAGAAGTGGGAAATGATCCGATTTGAATTGCGGATAAAAGGATAAGGCTCCCGGTAACTCGGACAGCTCAGCGGCGGTAACAAGCCGACTCGGGCGGCATGATGACAGTCAGGATCGAAATCATCTGCTTGTCTTGCTTGGGCACAGTGCCCCTGGGATTAGCGTGATCATTACTTCGTATGTAACTCGGAGGCAGGCATGGCTCCTGATAAAAAGACGCGTCTGAACTCTGTCTTGAGCCACCTGGCGGGGGGTTTCGTCTTGGCAATTCCTCACGCATTTCAGGCCGACGACGAAGCCTCTGCTGGTGTCCGACCGGGAGCCGGGCGCTCATCTGATTGGCCTGAAATCCGGCCCGGACCTGTTCTAGAACGATATCAGAAGTGCGATCGATTGCGTGGAATTGCAGTGGTTGTTTGAGAAGACTCGGTAACGACACGCTCCTGTCCAGTCTCGCAATGCCAACTGCCATGCGTCTCCATATCCTTGATAGTAGGCTGCTATGCACGTTGTTGATATTCCAGACGTTCCAAAGTCGCGTCGGCTCGCTTGATCCAATGCCAGCCTTCGCTATCATCGTTGGTTTTTAGCCTGGACGCGGGCCGCAAGAGCTGCCGGATACAACAACTCTGATTCCGATTTCCAGCCGAGACCTATTCAGCATTGTTTCACCTCCGCTCCCCCGCACATCATTGTTCTCGCAGCTGCCGGGAGGCCAGTCAGAAATGATGTGACTCTTCATCACGGCAACATCCGAAAACCGGGGTCGCAGCTTGATATCATCGGAGCCGGTAGCCAGAAATTCATCGGTGCGGACTCGTCGCGCCGAGAAGTCCATGCGGAGGCTGTCAAGACTACCTAAGCATCCAAGGTCAGCACATCGCAGATAATCCGGGAATAAGGACCGCCCGCCAATGGAGAAGTGCAAGACACCAAACCTTGTCCGTCAGGCTCCATGCAGATGAGACATTGCAGCCTCGTGCCTGGATCGTAGATATTCGTGCACCTCACCTCACCTCACTTACAGTACTACCACTACCTTAGGAGGAGGTAGGTAGGTAGACGGATCAATTAGGATGGTATGCTGCTATGCTAGGCCACTTTGGCTTGGCTTTGCACAGTGCAAAAAGATCATTCGAGTCTTCTTCAATGATTCAACGGTCTCTCTTCAGCGCGTGGGGGAGGAGATGTGGCGTCCCCTCTGTCGCCTGTTCTGCACGTTATGAAACTCCACTGCAGCATGGAAGCGGAAGCAAGCGCGGGAAACTCGGGACAGCTTTCCCAACTGAGGGCGCCCTTCCCAGTCAATGAGCTCGAAATGAGGAAAGCACTCTCAATTGACTTTGAGCCACTACACCAAGCGAAGCGCCTTCCTAAACGCGGGCCGGAATGTCATTCAGGCGCGCTACGTCATGCGCTCCTGCCCTCGACTTTGGCTGTGCGTCATTGTTGGCGCATCGCGGGCCGCGACTGCCTGGATGCGGCGGTTGATGGTGGTTTAGGGTGGTTTGATCAATGTGATGTGATGGCGGTTGATTGCGTGAACCCAGCACTATCGGCGTGACTTGGTAGTTATCATGCTGCACGCAGTCATGTTACGCAATACAAGGAGGCTAAAACTCTAAGCCGCCATGACATGCCAGCCTTGCAAATAGAAAAGGCACTCATCTCGTCGTTTTCGAGGCCTGTCCATTTCGGCGGATCTTCTCCTTGACTTGATTGATTTCACGCTCTATAAGGAACCTAGAGACAGCTTCACACCAGTCCTCTGTCCGACTCTGCGAATCATTCACGCAGTTCTACACTAAAGTTACTGCAATAGCCTGTCGCCATCATGGGTGCTTGTGCAGTTGTGCTACTCGTCATTCTCACCGTCATTTGTACGTCGAGCTACTACTAGACGGCCAAGTCAAATGCTTTCCTCAAACCGGCGCATAGGTACTAACAGGCGATGTTTCTCAGTCCCTCCGCTCGGGGTAGCCTGTGTGGCAGGATGTGGAGCGGGTATGTATCTTTCCTTTTCTCTCTACCATGATGCCCAGCGTCAGGCTTTTATGTCGGGACAAGTCGCAGGAAGGAGATACCTATGCTAAGACAATCTACATAGACGTCCTTATCAACATATGCCTGACAATTCTTGGATACTTCCCCGGGCATATACATGCATTCTACATTGAATATGTCTACTATGACAGACGACAGCAGGCTCGCGAGGGTCATTATCCTCCGCGCCGTGCTCCTGGCATCTATTCTGACAAGGTGCAAACGGGTGGACTAGGTCCGCGGCCAGGCTATGGGACGATGGCACCGCCTGCTGCGGGGGTTGAGCCTGTTGGAGGCCCGGCGTACGACAGCCAAGCGTATGGGACTCAAGGATACGGGAATCAGGGCTATAATGCTCAAGGACATGTCAACCAAGGGTATGCCTAATGGCCCGCGTTAGCACTACCTCAAGGCCGCTGAGATGGTGGAGAGAGAAGTTGAGGTTGGAGGGGGTCACGGCGCGGAAACGGTTTGGTATATAGTAATGCGGTTCGTTGTGTAGGTTAGGAGTCATGGTGAAGTTGAGTACAATTAATGAGACGTGATTGCGTGCAGAATTGATCAGCAAAAGGAGCTGAACAGAAAGGAACAGGGTCCGCCAAACGTTGATATGGTACTCGTGTTGATTGGGAAGACACGATGTGACATCACCCAGGTCCTGTGCACCACAGCATTGTGTTTGGTGCGGAATATCTTGTCCGCGAGCTCAATATCGAGAGACAGCAAGACATGTTTGCACGCCAATCGGATGCCCGCGATGGACTGCAAGATGCAGTGGCCTGAAACACGTTGCGAATCATGCATTTATCAGCGAACAAAGGCGGTTGAGTCAAGGTGCGTCGACGACGGAAGAGGAGCGAATCGGCGTCAAGCTGCCCCGCGATCCCGCATAGTATTACTAGTATTGCTCCAGCTCTGACGAGCGGATTTCTGGGGAGACGAGAGGCCTCTGGAGGATTGGTAGGCATGTGATGATAAGGAATATGTAGTTCAAAAAAAAAAAAAAAAAAAAAAAAAAAAGGATCAAGAGAGCGAGGAGGAAATTCGAGTGATAAAACTCTGCTGGAGTCGGCAGACCATCTGGAAGTGGTGATTGCTCAATTTGCATCAGTCCTGATTATGGCCAATTGGCTGCATCCAAGCGATCCATGTTTCTTCAGCACTTGAACATCAAGCAGCTTCCACATCTGCACGCTCCTTTGCACATGTACGAGTACCTACTACATATGCACATGCCTTTCCCAGGTCGATACGAAGCGCCTGTAATATGTAGGTAGGTAATAAGCAGGTTGGCGATGAAGCATCATTTCACAGCGCCATGATTGGTCTCCAACGGGGTGCTTTGACGCAGTGCATCCCTTCTGCCGCTTGTCCACACCAACCGTCACCCACACGCTCGCTCTTCATGCCCCTTCTCTCTCGCCTTTCCGCTTCGGTCGGCCAGCACGTCTGAAGATGCCTCAACCCAGCCAATGGACGGCGCACACGCCAGCAAGCAGCTGCGGCAGGGATGAGGCCAGAAACACCCGGCCTGTCAAATCACAGCAGAAGCATCAAGTCACTCATCCACGCTTTTTTGCCACGGGCTCGAACCGCTGCGAAACGGCCGGCCCCGGAAGGCAGAAGCCCGTTGAGCAGCGGCCACGACAGTCGTGCAGCTTCGCATTTGCGCTTGTGCAGCTTGTGCATTGCATTTGGGTTCTTTTCAATCTCATTTTTCACAAAGTTCCTCTTTTTCCTCTCTCTCTCTTTTTGCTCCGCCCACGCCCGTTGACGAGGTGATTGACATCAAGATTGCCCGGCCTCGTTGGTCTCTCTCTGGTTGAAGTTGTCTCTTTTGGCCCCCTCATTCTGCTGACTACTGCAACTGCACCTTTACCCATCTGGTCTGGTCGGCTCTGTCTCTACTACGACTACACCACCCACAGCCTCGAAGAGTTGAAGCGACGCTCTGCAGGACTGTCTCTCTGGTCCGGTTCCCTGCCGCTACAGGTATTATTCCTCGTCCTGTCCTGCTGTCCCTTTCGTCGAGCTGCAGCAGCCGCTTTGCCACGACAGCATCATCGCCGGCGTCAAGGCAACATCATCACCATCGTCACCACACCATCACCAACCTCCTCCAGCCTGCTGCTTGCCACTTTGCTGCTATTTGCAGCGCCCTCGCGCATACCAACATCTGCATCTCGCGGCCAGTCTGCCCTATTGCATACGACCTACTACGCTCTGCCCGCTCTTCTCGCTAGTACATACATACATACATACATACTACATACATACTTACATACCCGTGTGAGACTCCGCCAACGCTACCGTCGCCAGCTATTACTATCTGCCTCCTGTCGTGCCACTCTGTCACTAGCGAGGCACACCCTACAGCACCTACATACTGGTACAGACACGCATCCTGCTCGCCTGCCTCTTCCCCCATCCTATCCGGTCGAGCCCAGACCGGGGACCTTGTCCGCATCGACACGACCGTCTTGCCTGCGGCAATGCCTTGAGACCTCGGAGCTGCACAGCTTGCATGTTGCCGCGCCCGATGTCTTGCTGAGACCCTGGACCGATCGTCGCCGATACCCAACACCCCAATTCCTCTCCCAACCTGTCCGGCCAGCTCTGCCTTGCCTTGCCCGGCCTTACATATACTACTGTATTTAACCTCCTCACACGCATCTTTCCTGCCCATCATGTCTCTGCCCAGCTCTGGCCCTCAGCCGTCGTCTGGCCATATCGAGGCTCCATCTGAACCTCAGTCTCAGCCTCAATCCCAATCCCATGCCCATTCCCAGTCCCGTTCCCAATCCCATTCCCAGACCCAGACCCAGACCCAGACTGAACCTCAATCGGTAGCTCAGCCTCAAGCTCAAGCTCAATCTTCACCTGCTCCATCGCCCCGGTCGTCATCGACCAGCATTGAGCCTCGTGGTGTCCATTCCCTGCCCTCACCCCTCAGGCGTTCCATCCAGCCCAACCCGTCTCCGACCAGCCTGGTGCCCTCCACTGCTGAAGGCAAGCCGATCCCGGTCGATGATTCGACAGTAGAATACCGCACCACCGCCCTGCGAGAGCTCAACAACAACTTCCCGAGCCATCGCTACGCCAAGTCGACCGGCGCCCAGAGCAGCACATACTCGGAGCCTGTCATTGTCCGGAGCTACTATCCGCCGGTGCCCTCGAGCAGGCCGTCCAGCTCGTCCCATGGTCCCATCGTTCACGGATCGTCCATCTCTGGTAGCGGTGCTGGCCCCAGTTCCCAAGTCAGCCGCTTCGCCGAAGCTGTCGCCGGTGTACCTTCTAGGCTCGTGTCCGGAGAGCACGGCATGCTGGGCAACATGGTGTTGTCCTTTGGAAAGAAGCCCGTCAACGGCCGCGCCCACGACGAGGCCCGCCTGCCCCCGGTAGAAGCCTTCAGCTTCAAGAGCTTCATGGCGAACCTCGAGGCCCAGGGCGGCGGTATCGCTGGTGATATCAATGCCGACCTGGATCGGATTGCCGAGATTTGTGCCAGGTCCAGGTACTCGCTGAGCAATCAATACGAGGTCCACTACACTCCCCATGGATCCGGCACCTCTTTCTTCAATGCCTCTTCCCAGAATGACGCTCAAGGCCCAACCCTGCAGGTAGTCTCCGCGGACGATGAATACAGCGTAGGGGCGTCTGCTCGGAGGCGGAGACGCATGGCCCGAAGGAACAGCAGAGCCGTGGGCACGCTAGAGACCATCATATCGTCCAGTCGCTCTTCGGACGAAGAACAGCCTGGCAGGAAGAAGACTGCCTCCGAGATCGCCGAAGAGGTTCGCGGTCGGGCGGCGCAAAAGGGCTCGGGCCATTCCTCGGCAAGCACTTCCTCGAGCGGCACTCTCGATGAACGCCGTGACACGTGCCAGGAGGACGCTGCGCCGAAGAAGTCGTCGACTTCGCTTGCTCTCATTGATGCCTCTACGAGACAATCCGGCTCGGCAATAGACTCTCCGCGCACGTCGGCCACCGGCCTCGTCAGTGAACCGGCGCGGCCGCAAGAATCGACGAGCCAGCTCGAGATACGCACAGCGCCAGGTGAGCCCCGCGAGGAGCCGCCCGCCCTCCTTGTCAAGGAGACGCCACTCCCGCCGAAGCAAGTCGGGCTGTCTGTCGCAAAGGGGGCCATTACGCACACCAAAACAGACAGTGCAGGGAGCGGCATTCTCTCCATGATCAACGGATGGATGCCTTGGAGGCCGTCATCCACCTCCTCGGCCCATCACCATCATCAGCAGCACCAGAAGGGCGTCGCCGAGGGGCGTCTTCGGGATCTTTTGAAGACGGCCGAACCAAAGGGGAAGGGGCATGAGATTCTACAGTAAATCCAGGTTCACTGGGATCTGATTGGAAAAGTCCATTTCAACTATACAACCACGATGGCGTCGAGTAGGGATCAAAAGAGGAGGTGGACACAGAACAATCCTCTTGCACCATTGTCTGTTTTATGTTTGTTTCTTTGGGGGTCTAGCTTTGACTGGGTATATGTGTACATGGGAGGGTCGGAAGATTTTGAGATACCACATTTGACGAGGGGATATGATTGATGATGTTATGATACATGAATGTCGCTCATGATTTGTTACTTCTATAGTTTTATGAGTTGCATAGGAACGAAGCAGAGGTGTTCAACTCGCGGTGTCTATCCCTCGTCCTAAGTCATCTTCATATCACAATCATCCGTGAAAGCGTCAAAAGGAATACACATCGCTCTTCTTAGTCCGCTGGGACAGCTTTCATATATTAACTTCTCCACGCTTTGAAAACCATCCGTTGCTCCAGTCCTCTCATCTACATGCCTCTCACCGAAAAGCCTGAGGCATCCGTCTTCAACCCCCCCCCTTTGCCATACGCCACCATGCAATATTCACCTCGTTCCCAGCTCACACCTGCCCTGCTCTCCTTGCGCGAAGACACAATCAGAAAAATGAATTTGGACCATTTCCACGTTGACCACCAAACGCCAGATATACCCGCCTCCCTTTTGAACACCTTTCGAAGAGTGAAAAAAAAGTGGACAAGAAACAAAGAAGCTAGAAGAAAAACAACGTCAAAAGGAAAAGAAAGGGGGGGAAGAAATGAGACTCTCGTGCCACATGTACGGCATTATACTACATCAACAGCGCCTCGTTCATCCATTCCAGCCCCAAGACCAAGATGGCGAAAAAACGGGAGAGAGACAACAGGTGGGCAGCAATATATATCAGACAAGAAACAGGCGGGGGAAAAGCTCACAAAAAAAGCAAGGCCGGGTCGTAACATGAACGATGGAAAGAAAACCCCTCCATTTACTCCTTTGTAGCTGTCGTTGTAGTCGAAGCAGTGCCGCCGCCCGCGTCCGCCGACTTCTGATCGACGTGTATCCGCTTGACGCTCCTCTCACGATCATGAGTCTCTGTGACGCGTTTCTTGTCTTTTTCTCGAGTGCCATCCTTGGCGGCCTTTCTGGCCTCCCGGTCTCGCCGCTCGTTCTCCTTGCGCAGAGCCTTGGATTCGAACTCGTGCCAATCACCACCAATGTTTGCCAGCCTGCCGTGAAAGGTTAGCCATTTAATTCAATATTGAAGCATAGTTCGTCAACAAGGAAGGGGGAGAACTCACTCTATTGCCTGCCGGGGCAACGGCTCTTCGGTGGTGAAGTAAGGGTGCTGCAAGACCATGGCTGCAGTAGGTCGCTTGGCCGGGTCGTACTGGAACATAGATTGCAACAGATCAAAGGCAGCGGGAGAAACTCTGTCTTTGTATCTTTCAGCAAAGACGCTCTTCCGCTTGGCAGTCGGTCGAAGTAGCTCGAACCAGGCCATGTCGATGATGCCAGGCCAGTCCTGGCGGGTTGGCGTCCCGAGCGTGTTGTATATCTTCTCCAGCTGGCTGAGCTCCGTCCCATCTCCGGCAAAGATGGCGAGTCTGGTGAAGATCTCCACCATGACACACGCCGCGCTCCAGACGTCCACGGCAGCGGTATACTTGGTCTCTCCTAGCAAAAGCTCGGGCGATCGGTACCAGATCGTAATGACCCGGTTCGTGTAATCCAGCTGGTGTCGCTTCGCATAAAACCGAGCCAGGCCGAAATCTGCCAGTTTCAGAATTCCATCGCTGCTGACCAAGATGTTGGCGGCTTTGATGTCGCGATGAAGAACGCCTCTCTCATGAAGGTAGTCTAGGCCTTCAAAGAGCTGCTTGGCCATGTGCTTCTTCTGAGCTGGGTCTAGCGAAAAGGAAGGGTGGTTGAGCAAGCCCGTCAGATCGTGAGAGAGATACTCAAAGACCATGAAGCAGTCATTCTTCTCCACCATGACCTCTTGAAGTCTGACGATGTTGGTGTGCCGTAGCGACTGTAGAAGCTTGATTTCGCGCACAGCCGTCACCGGAAAGCCGTCTCGCTCGCCTTCCATCCGTATTCGTTTGAGAGCAACAAGCCCCTTGGTGTAGACATTGAGCCCCTTGAATACCTTTCCGTACGTACCCGAGCCGACGACAGACTCGTTCCCTGGTTTTCGAAAGAAGACAGAGTCAGAGTCAATCAGGTCGGGTGGGAGAGTAGGCCGAGGCTTTGGTCGCTTCATAATCTTGATTACTTTCCGCGTTCTCGGCGCCAGTTTCGGGCCCTCAGGCGGATGCCTAAACTCACGCCGAGAGCGCGCCGATGATGGTTCTGTGGGGGCGCTTGGAGGAGGCTCCCCATCACGGTTGGTGCTTTGGGCCTGCGGCGGAGGCTCTCTCTTTGGCGGAGCGTTGAATTTCTGGGAAATCTCTGGCTTCGGAGCGGTAGGCGTTGGCTTTGAGGACGGCTTGAAAGCAAAGCTAAACTTTCCGCCTCCGCCGCCTAGTTTGGGTGTGGGTTGTGATGAGGCCTCAGCATTGTCCTTGGATGTGCCCGTGTGATTAGCGGGAGCAGACGGAACGTCTTCTGAGGGAGCCTGAGAGGCAGATTCAGGGGCATCGGTGGCCTCGGTATCTGCCCCGGCGCCTGTGTCAGCGTCTGCGGCACTGGGTCTTCTATCCCCTTCTCCATCTGACGGGAAGCCATTGCCACGAGGGGGAGGAGGTGGTGGCGGCGGTGGTGGTGCCTGGGATGCAGGGTTCCTAGAAGTGCTTTGAAAGGCAGAGCCGCGATAGCCACCTCGGCTTGCAAAAGAGCTGCCACGGAAACCACTTCCCCGATGACCCCCACGGAAGCTGGCCTGAGGCCCTGTAGGCGCTGCATAAGGAGGCGAGTGAAGGGCATTCACGTGGTAATGATTCTGAGATCCGTTCTGCGGGGCAGTAGGAGCGTAGCCGCTGCTGGCATGAGCATACTGCGGAGGATATTGTCTATTCATCTTCGTTAGCAAATGTGTGACGAAAGCAGCGATATACACATAATGGTGAATCAGTTTACATACTGTTGAGGGGAGTACTGGTGCCCGCTCCACCCGCCACGACCGGCGCCATAGGGCGATGGCGAGGGGGAATTGTGAAAAGAGCCCGGATTCTGAGGAGACTGAGAATACCCTCGCGGGTCGTTGCTGTGGTGGGACTGGTGCGCATAGGCGGGGTTGTATCCTCCTCGGTAACTGCTCCGAGACGTCATGTCGTCGTCGACGTCTGACCGCGAGGCGTGATGCGGCTCGGGGAAGTCTTTGCCTCGCTGTCGATCTCGATGTGAGGGAGGAGATCGCGGTCTGGGGTCCCGGTGGGCAGGTCGGTGCTCGACGTCGACTCGCGACCGGTCGTCAGTGGCAGTGCGGACCGTCAGGGTAGGTTCGCCCACACGTGACTGCGAGCCCCTACGATGTGAGATGGAGTGCCGCCGACTGCTGGCAGCTGGCGGGGACCGATTTCTTGACGGGCTCCGGGGCGCTTCGGGTTTCTGGCGGTGCCGGGAGTCGCGTCGAGACCTTCTCCTGTCACCTTCCGACCTGGCGGGGGATCGAGAGGGAGATCTCCGCCTGGAACGGTGGTGGCCCTCGTGGTCGGCCCGGGCAGGGGATCTGTGGGAGGAGCGATGTCGACGCGGTGGGGAGTCTCGACGATCGGTCGAATGGTGTCTTCGTCTCTTGGAGTCGGCCTTGGACCCGTGGTCTCGGCCGCGCGGCGGCGGACTGTGAGCCTTCTTATAGCGCTTCCTGCGTGACGAGCTCAAAGACCGGCTGCGGCTGCGGCTGCGGCTCCTGTGTCGCTTAGAAGAGGACGGAGAGCCAAGCCCCCCACGATCACGATCACGCTCGCGCTCTCGCTCACGGCCTCGCTCACGGTCACGGTCTCGCTCACGATCTCGCTCACGATCTCGTTCACGGTCTCGATCTCGGTCTCGACCTCGGTCACGGCTCCGACTGCGGCTACGGCTGCCCCGAGCGGTCCTGGCCTTGGCCTCGGAGGAACGCGCCTTGCTCTCCCGGTAGCGAGGGATCAGATCGTCCGACTCGGCAGGCTGGCGCGAGGACGTAGGCCTCTCCCGCCGGGAATAGTCCCGGCTGCGGTCTCGAGAGCGATGCCGGTGCGCTGGCGCTGGACTTCTGGGGCGATGGTGCTGGCGGGCGTAGTCTGCGCTGTGACGGGCCTCGTGGGGAGGAGATCCTGGTCGATCCGAGGACGTCACTCCTCTGCCAGATCGAGGCCGTTCTCTGTAATCATTGCTTCCTCCGTCGTCTCTCATGGCAGCATGTCGAGGGCGACGCGGAGGCGATGTCTTCTGCCCCATTGGGACCTGCACCTCGTCTGAGTTTTTAGCGTCGCAGCGCTGGTAAATCGCCGTACCTTAGCCGGAGGAGCCAGGGTCGAGAGGCTTATGTTGTTGCGTCCCACAGCCGGGGGACCGAATGCGCTGCGATGAGGGTTTGTGAGAGGGCGGAGTGCTGAGAGGGAGAGGGATTTGGGAAGAGGGAGGAGAGGAAGAGACAACAGAAAAAAAAAAAAAAGAAGATAGAAAGCAGAGCGTGATGGGGCCCCGGTGCCACAGAGCCAAGCGCTTCCCTCCAGAACTGACCGCCGCGATGATGCTCTCTTTTTCCCCCCTTGTGCGGTCATCGTTAGACGCCTTCGAGCCTCAACCGCGCAAAACAGCGCCGGCTCTTCCCCAAAGCAATCTCGCACGTCCGCCACGCCCCAAAAGCCACCGACTTCTCCCGGACATGCACTTGCAAGCTTTCACTGTCATGGCAGTGTTCTCATACGTTCCCCCTTCATTTCATAACCCTCCCCAAGACATGCAGACAACAGCCCGCCGAGGCCAAGTCGCGCCGGCCAGCCAGGACATGCTCGAGCCGTCATAAACCAGCAGCATAGCGCTATATACGTTGTGATCCTCGTGGATCATTTACGAACTTACCAATGAGCATCAGTCGCCCATTATAACATTGCCTGCGACGCAGCTTGGGCAGCTGCCCCATGTCTGTCGGCTGGCGATCGATGTATGCGTCTCAAATGAACAAGCCGACCACCAAACATCATCGACAGAGATGGAACGCGCAGAACCTGCGTTTCCATCAGCCCTTTTGGCCGTGCCGTGCGTCACCGTAGCTTCTCTCTTCGCCCCATCCTTCGCCTCTTGCTCTTTTTGCGGGAGAGACGCAGCTGATAGTGGAGTAGCCAATCATCATTCAAGAGCGAACTCCAAGGCTCATCAGCAATCTTCTTGGACGAGCACTTCGACGGCATGGGAGCCCAAGAAATCCCCAACCATAGCGGGCAGGCATGTCGACAATGTTGAGTAATATGATCAGTGCCGGTAGAGGTCGTGAACAGAGTCCCTGACCTGCCAGGTTCCAAGCTTGTAGCATGTGAAGGCTGCCTCGACAGGTAAAAGAGAATGCAGACAGCATGTGCTTCAGACAGGGGCTCCGGCGTCGTGAGCCATATTTTATCTGCACGGCCGGGTTGCGTTTCATCCGTCATATGGAGTGTCGACATCATCCAAAGGCGATATCCGCCACAGCGAGATGCCGCAGGCGTGTGGAGGAGGTGCAGATGGGGCACAGCGAGGCTGTTTACAGGTGCCTGGCTGCGGCGCAGGATCATAAGGGTGGTGGTGGGGTTTCCGGCGACAGGCTCGTCCTCGGGTTGGCGATGTTATATGATCACGTCTTCCTCCATCGCCCCAGCAAGCCCATACCTGATGGGTGGGCCGGATCCGACGTGTCGGCTCGTGTAGCGAAGCGATATTCCGGGGAATGAGGCTCCAAATCGCTCGTCAAGGAGTCGGCAGCTCTCCCTTGGGATTCACACATCCCCCCTCTTTGGCCCCGGCAGGCACTGATGGACAGCCCCAGGATATCATCCTAGCACTCGTTCTGCAAGTAAATCCGACGCGCCACAGGCGCTGCATCTCGGCGAGCATCGATGTGGGCTCGTGGCGTGGTGATGCCGCTGGGCTTTGCTTGCTTTGCTTTGCTTTGCTTTGAGTGTTCTTACGAGAGACTCTCTCGTGCGGATCACGCTCAGAAAAAGCGGCTCTCTCACGTGACATGCCGTGTGACAAGCCTTATCCGAAAGCGAATGCGCTACGCCCAGTACGTACTAGAGCCACGCGTTGGGTTAAGAAGCAACGGATCGCCACCTTTATTTTTGATTGGAGCCCTTTACATAAGGTAGGGACGCAAGAAAGGTCCGAATAGGTATTATGAAAGAAGAAAACTCGAACAAGACGTAGAGAGACTGTGCCGAGGCTCCTCGAGATCTGAGGCAGTTTTACATAGAGGCTGTGCCCATTGTGCCTCCTATTTGCCCCGGGGATCCGTTGCCAAGCAGCAGATAGCAGAAGCCGAGGTTACACTAGCAAACCACGCAGCAACAGGCGAGAGTCTTATTGATGCGATCACTTGATGGATCCGAGCCTGATCTAGTAGGACAATTCCTAGTGCCTTAGCAGTACTCTCTGCCTAGATAAGGTACTATGGAAAATTGCAATTGTGACTTCTAGCATTCACTTGCCGCGGCTCGGTGAATATGCCGCCTTGGGAGGGTGGGCCATGCTATTATGCCTCGATTGCCAAGGGGCAGGGTACCTCTTCGCCCACGTACACAAGCAGATATCAGATGTACCTCGCTGCACGGTCTACTCTGTCCGCCCCATATGTTGCCACGACTTGCAGCTGTAGTACTCTCTACAAGTCCAAGATGGGGCTTGGGGCCACCGGCTTTGTTGTCTCAAGTCGTACAACCCTCGTGAACAACACGCAGACCCTCTTCTTTCTCCTTTTGCTTCTTTCCTCTGTACACCTGTTTCGCTCAGATAGGCTTGATCGGGGGCTTCTAGGAGTTTCACTGGCAGTATAATTGACTAACCCCCGGCCTTGCGTCAATTCAAAAGTCTGTTTCGTGATCAATTCGACCATCTCAAGCACATCAAAACCCCTCTGCAATGGAGTGGTTAGGGAGAGCCAAGATCGAATTCACACATTCGCCAACCCCGAGGACAATCAAGGAGAAAGACGGCCACGAGACAGACCTGCTCAAGATCTGCGAGTCCAACACGCCGCCATGCCACCTCAACCCACTGCTGTTCAACGGCCATGTGCAGACAATGTGGACGGCAACGAAGCCACACGGGCCACTCATGTACTACAAGCGCAAGGTCTTCCAGGCCGAGCACGAGGCCTATGAGGGATCCTTTGCCGTCGATTTCGTCGTGGAGCCTCACGAGGGCCGAGACGAGGGCTTGCCGCCCCGAACCGTGCATTACTCAGACGAAGAATTCGCCAGTATCGGGTCGGATGATGCGAAGCCGATGCTCGTGGTGCTGCATGGCCTCTCAGGCGGCTCTCATGAGGTGTACTTGAGACACACGGTTGCTCCTCTGCCAGAGCAGGGCTGGGAGATTTGCGTGGTCAACTCTCGGGGTTGCGCAGGCAGCAAAATCACCAGCGGCATCTTGTACAATGCCCGCGCAACCTGGGATATCAGACAGGTAGGTTGCCTCTTATAAATGAGATGATGATGATGATGATGAGATTCTGACAAAATGAATATGCAGACAATCAGGTGGTTGAAAAGGACATTTCCAAACCGCCCACTCTTTGGCATTGGCTTCTCACTCGGTGCAAACATCATCACCAACGTACGTTGTTCCATGAATCCAAGCGATCAAGCTCTGGCTAACATGGCTGCCAGTACTGCGGTGAAGAGGGTTTGGATTGCCCCCTCAAAGCCGCCATTGCCGTGTCAAACCCGTTCAGTCTAGACATCGCCAGCAAAACAATGTCAAACACGCTCATCGGCAAAGAACTCTACCTTCGAGTACTGGGCAGTGAGTTGTCGTCCGTTGAACCCCCCGTGGGCGAAGGCCAATGACTGACAATTCCTCACAGCTGCCATGAAGTCATTGATTGAGCGGCATAAGAAGGAGCTCAAGCAGCACACCAAATTGAATCTGGATGCTATCGCCAACACCACATATTTATACGAGTTTGATCGGGAGATTCAGTAAGTTTTGCCTTTGAGCCTCACCAGTCATGTGCATAATGTTGGAGGACATTGGATAACTTACAATGACGTAGATGTCCGACCTGGGGATATCCCACCGAATCTGCGTATTACCGCGACGCATCCTCGACAGACGCCATCCTCGCCATCAAGATCCCGTTTCTAGCGATTTCGGCCACTGATGACCCCGTGCGTACTCTATCCTGAACAGATGACTAGGCCTTCAGAAACTGACAGTCCCTGCTAGATCGCGGTCAAAGAAGCTATCCCCTTTGAAGAGTTCCGCCAGAACCCCAACACCATCCTGCTCACCACCTCCTTGGGCGGACACCTGTGTTGGTTTGAACCTGGCGGAACTCGCTGGAACACTCGTCCGGTACGCACTACAGTCTGAAGAACGGAGATTGGACCTGGGTATATCAAGTCACTAACACATAAGATTAGGTGTGCAACTTTCTCAACCACATGGCATACAAGGTCGATCTCGACAGCCTCGTGCCAACGGATTACCCACCCAGGGAGAAGGCTTTTGCGGCCTCCGAGTACGATCCAATGAGACGTAAGATGTACATTGTGCGGAATTAGAAAGTCATAGTTCCCCTTTTTTTTTGTTTCTCTTTTTATTGATCACGGGACAATAATGGGTACAGATGGTAGAAAAGGAGACGGCGAACCTCGATGATAGACACTAGAGTAATAGCTGAAGACGAATATACAGAATATATAGTTTTTTTTGGCGGCATCTAACGCACCATTCGCTATCCAATGAAGTTATCGGACGAATGTGCTCAATCAATTGCCGGCTCTGTAAGAACCAAGGCATCAGTAGGTCATGACTATAACCAAGACCTTGAACTTAATGATGATAGCCCTCAGGGAAGCTTGGTGGCAGCCATTCCTCCTTTACATGGCTAACAGCAACACCCGTGGTGATTTCTCTGTATGCCCTCTGTTAGGCAGTGTTAATAAAAAATAATGAGAACTGATAGTCGCTCGCCGGAGCGCCTATTATTAGGTATAAAGTTAAGGTGCTGACGAGCCACTCCCTCATTTCCATCTTTTGAGGCCCACAAACAGCGCCCTGAGATTACTGTGGCTTGGCTTAATCCATTGCAACAAGCAGAAGGTCGCCGGTATAGAGGGTGTCGGGATAACGAGGGTCAAGATAGGACTGGAAGATGATGAAGTCCTCATTTCCAATTCTCAACACACACTCTCTGCGCCAGTCTGACTCGTGAACAAGAAGCGAGGTTGTTCATGGTTCTTCAGGTCAATACTATGACTCTCAACTCTAGTTCTTTGCTTCTTCAGCCGCCCATTCTTCTTCAGTGAAGTGATACCACTGAGAAAGACCTGTGAACACTGCCCAGACCTCCGTAGTCAGGAGAAGGTGGAAGAACTCGGTCCCCAGATAGTTCATTGCCGTTGTCCACGTGAAACCACTGAGAAGATTTGTTTCTAATATGTCGTCCAAGGGCAGGCCTTTCCTCACGCAGAAAGCCCGTGCCACCAGACGTAGAGCGGTCGCATCATATGGCGTCATCAATAAGCGTGTCATGGAGTTGGCAAGCATATGAGACGCCAGCAGCGCGGGAATCTGGGTGAGAAGCGTATCCAGGTATGTGGGCTGGAAAGCTGTAGACCCTCTTGAGTCCGTATTAGCAACACTTGGCCGTAGCTCTGCACTCCAGAGCCCCTGAGGGGCATCCGTCGACTCGGTCGCTTCCACGTCAAAGCTGATAAGAGTAGCCCTTATTACATCATTGTCCTCTTCATCGCTGTCAAAGTCATCGCCTCTGGCCGAGAATATGCTCGGCCGACGAGCAACCTCCACGCCACTCGCATCGCTTGGCAGCTGGCTATCCACAGGCGCAACCGGCGATGCTCCCTCATTGCTGTGTATCTCACTAGGAGCCTCGTTCATAAAAGACTGTGGCACTGATGGCGGCGCTTGTGGTATCGTCTTGCCACGAAAAACCGTACTAGGGAGGCGCTTGAAGGTCTCGGCCCATATATGCGGTTTCCAATCACGAACCATTCGCTGAGTCACGACGAAGACGATGAATGGGGCATTGGATATGAGAAGACCACCCACCCATTGCAGGATGGATGATAGGCCAAGACTCTCGAGCGGCGGCGGAGCGACAATCGGCGACTCTTCAGAAAAGGGGATAAACCAGGACGGGCTGGGGAGCCATTTACTGCTTGGAATCAGCCCAAGTCTCTGCAGAGATATGTGTAATTCCAGATGAATTCGGATGTATGACCAGATCTCGTGGAGACTAGAACGAACAGTCAGCATATCAGCAAAATTAGTGATCTCAAACAAGAGGCAGATTCTCACCAACGCCTAGCAGTCAATTTTTCTTGTTCGCCAAGCCATAGTCGGGCAACCGAGAACTCGATGTAATTCGACAGCAGGTTTGCGGGGGCACCCGGAAGGATGTCTCTGGATACAGAAAAGTCCCGTCGTGCCTGTTGATAGAGATCCCAGAACGGGATCTTGGAGTACCGCTTATAGATCTGGAAGTCTCCAGTTAGCATATGATGCGGACTTCATTGCTTGGAGGGAGCGCTTCACCAGAATTCGGTCTCTCAGGCCATTGACACCAAAGATCCCAACGGCCTCCACACAACGCTTAGCTGATGACGCCAGCTTCAACCCAACCGACTCCTCATAGGCCCCATGTCGCCTTTGCGAGTCAATTTCGGGGCCGGGATTTTCGGGTTCAGCAATACCGATGATGAACATGACCTGATTGTGCGACCTGATGATATCCCTGTTGATCCTCACGGTATCAGGGTTGATTGGACGTCCGCCATGGTCATACTGCTGCCTTGGCATCCGTGGATCTTCCTCGCCCTCTCCCTGAACTACATCGTCATATGGCGAACGGCCCTAACTGTGTCAGTAGTGGTAGCAGATAGATCGGGGGGTTCAGCTCATACAAGGGCCTGAGCCACGAGCGGGCCTTGCATCCCCATGGTGAGTGATTCCAGAAGCGTGAGAGCCTCTCAGCATTTCAATTCACTCCAACATGGTCCACAGAGTCTTGACTCGCATGCGGACCGGGATCAGACGAAAGATACTTCGTGTAAGGCAAGATGATGATAGTTCTACGTTGTCCACAGGATCTCACCCGGTTTACATCAGCGCAATACTTACTCAGACGTCAGGAGCAGCTCGCCGCTAATTGATATGGAAGTTGCCCGGCTAAAGAACGGCAAAAGGGCACGGCCAATCACTTCTTACCGGCGTCGTCCTTGCATTAGCCTGCCTCTTATCTTATCGGAGCATCAAAAAATAATTCCCAGACAGGCATGCGCTTCCAGATTCCTCTTCAAAGCAAGCCAACTTCACCACCATGGCGACAAAACAGCCCCTCAAGACGACGTTCGACGTCGAGCGCGTCATCCGTCCGATCTATACTGGAGGCTCAGTTGCAATTGACAATAAGGCGCAGATTTTGGCAACAACGCTGGGCGAGGATGCAGTTCTCACAAACCCCACCAATGGAAAGCATCTGGCGCAGATTGAGGGCGTAAGTAGAGGCCGTCTGTAGGAATATGACTTGGGACGAAATGCTAACATTACGAAAGGATGGAGAGTCAATCTCGACCCTGACACGTTTGTGAACCCCCTTGCCGTGTACCGACAGTCGGAGACTAACACCTGTCTAGTCACCCCCTCCGGTTCCCATCTCATCGTTTGCTCCCGGTCACTGTCCATGAGAATCTTCGTGCTTAAATGGTCCTCAGAGGGTGATTCGATCGAAGCATCATTGGTGCGCACACTGAAGCCTCATACAACTCCAGTCATTGTTCTGGCCGTTGATCGTACGGGCACCCTTCTGGCGACAGGAGGAACCGATGGCGTGATCAAGGTCTGGGACATTGCTGGCGGCTATGTTACACACACGTTCCGCGGCCCTTCGGTTTTAGTATCTGCTCTGCGCTTCTTCGAAGTGGCAGCACGAGCAGCGCCCAATCGAAAGACCAAGGGAGGGAAGAAACAATCCGGTGCGGCAGACGAGGACGATGAGGAGGAGGCAGACGCTGTTACAACTACCAATTTCCGATTGGCTTCCGGTAGCCAGGATGGAAAAGTGCGGATCTGGGACTTGAACAAGCGAAGCTGCATTGCCAACTTGGATTCTCACGTATCTGACGTCCAAGCGATTGACTACTCTCCAACCCAGCATGCTCTCGTCACAGCAAGCCGGGACAAGACTCTGATTTGGTGGGATACGAAGTCGTGGAAGATCCGAAAAGTCGTTCCGTGCCTCGAACTCGTAGAAACCGCGGGCTTTGTGGATGACGGAAACCTCACATTCTCTGCCGGAGCGAACGGATGCCTGCGCATCTGGGATACCGACAAGGGCGCCGAGCTGACGCCCAAACAATCCGCCAAGAGCGAAGAGGAGGGAATCGTTGCCGGCATCTACCGACCGGAGCTCCCCTTCATTCTTCTTGTGCAGGTTGACCACACATTGGCCTTGTACGAGCTGCCTTCAAAGGCCTCTACAGCCTCCTTTCCCGCGCCGGAGCCTTTCCGTCGGATATCCGGCACCCATGATGAGATCATCGACTTGGCCTATCTCCTGCCCGACCACTCGCTGCTTGCCCTGGCCACCAATTCGGAAGACATTCGTCTGGTGTCTGTAGCAGAATCTAATCAGGAAGCTCAAGAGGTGTCATGGACCAAGTCGGAGACCCCATTCTTTGGCCAAGACGTGGCCCTTCTACGAGGACACGAGGACATTGTCATTGCCCTGGATGTTGACTGGTCTGGCCACTGGGTTGCTACAGGAGCCAAAGACAACACCGCAAAGCTATGGAGAATCGATCCCGCCAACAACAGCCACGTCTGCTGGGCAACTTTCTCAGGACATGCGGAATCTGTGGGCGCCGTGGCCTTACCACGAACTGTGCCGCCCGAGGGATCGGCAGCACGAACAGACCCTCTCAATCATCCTCCTCCTTTCCTACTGACGGGATCACAGGATCAAACGATCAAGAAGTGGGAGATTTCGAAGACGCCTCAGCAAAAGGGACAAAAGTCGAACCCCCGATCTGTCTTTACGAGAAAAGCCCACGACAAAGACATCAACGCAATTGACGTCCATCATGCGGGCCAGCTTTTTGCATCTGCTTCACAAGACAAGACAGTCAAGGTGTGGTCCGTGGAGGAGGGAGAAGTACAGGGCATTCTTCGTGGCCACAAGCGAGGAGTGTGGACTGTGCAGTTCTCGCCAGCTCAGATGCCAGCTTTGCAAGGTGAAGACGGCCCAGTCACGGGCAAGGGCGTCATCCTGACGGGAAGCGGCGATAAAAGCATCAAGCTCTGGAACCTCTCGGACTACACTTGCATTCGTACGTTTGAGGGCCACTCAAACTCGGTGCTCAAGGTGGCTTGGCTCAACATGGCTCCACGCTCAGAGCAATCAAAGGGCCTCGTCCAATTTGCAAGTGCCGGTGGTGACGGGCTTGTCAAGATCTGGAACGCAAACTCTGGAGAGGCTGAGTGCACCTTGGACAACCATGAAGATCGAGTCTGGGCCTTGGCTGTGCACCCAAAGACCAACGCGGTCGTCTCCGGCAGCGGTGATTCCACCGTTACTTTCTGGAAAGACACCACGTCCGAGACCCAGGCGGCAGCATCTCAAGCCGCATTGAAGCTCATCGAGCAGGAGCAGGAGCTTGAAAATCACATGCACGCAGGATCATACAGGGAGGCCATTACCCTGGCCCTCCAGCTGAACCACCCGGGGCGTCTGCTCGGACTTTTCACCTCTGTGGTGACAACCAGCAAGCCTGAACAGGGCAGCCTGTGCGGCATCAAGGCAGTCGATGAGGTGCTGGCGACGCTTTCCGACGATCAGATATACATACTGCTGCTCAGACTGCGAGACTGGAACACAAACGCTCGTACAGCCCCGGTGGCACAGCGTATACTGTGGACGCTGATCAAGAGCTATCCCGCTTCAAAATTCTCGAGCCTGCCGGTGAAGGGGTCGAGAGGAGAGAAGAGCCTCAAGGATGTGCTGCACGGTCTGAAGGTGTACACCGAGAGGCATTACAAGCGCATGGAGGAACTGGTGGACGAAAGCTTTTTGGTGGAGTATACGCTACAGGAGATGGACAGCCTCGCCCCTGCGCTCGAGAGCGATGTAGCCATGAAGGAGGTGGACACTGTCATGAGTGGTTAGAGGCTAGTATGCGTGGACATACCTTGTGTCAGTGGAAACTAGGTAATTGGTATATAATCACGAAAAGGTGATAATAGGGTCTAGTATAAGACAATCATATCGTAGCGAATTTCCATAGATATTTAGAATGTATTGTGAATAGTGTACTCACTTATTAAATTCTCTGAGCCGTTGTTCTCTAGGCGCTCAATGAAATAGGAATGCCTGCCAAAGGCATGTCGAGATTGGTGTTGAGGTGAACTCCTACCTGGGAGTAGCCCTTCTAGCTAGCTAGGTAGGTAGCTCAAGCTGCTATATCAAATGCCAGTCGATGTAAATGAGCCATAAAGCTAACAATTGTATGATCATAATCAATGACTTGGAGTTAGCCTTTGGTCAAATGGACTGGTTTCGCAGCTTCCATAGGGTCGAAAGGCAACGCCGCATAATTAATTGCACATGTCGTCGATCTGATTGTTGATCATTGCTGCAGATGCCGCTAACCTTCAGGCTGCGAGACCCACCAGACGTTTTCCATTTCAGCCTCGTCACCATCAACCTTCTTCGCGCCTCCTCCCTCTCCACGATACCATTTGCTCCTCCTCCAACCTTCCACTCCCTCACAATCCTCCCTCATTCTCTAATCATGTCCAAACGGCAAGCTTCCGAAGCTCTCGACGAGCTCCAGGACGTCGCGTCTCCCGCCTCCAAGCGCTCGCGAATGGGCGACTTCGACTCGCCTCTCGCAAACAGCCACGACGATGCCCAGAGCCCCGACCAAGACGCAGACGCGCGAAAAGAAGGCACGCAAGGCGCACAGAGCGAAAATGAAGACGACGACGATGAAGATCTCGACAACGAACCCATGGCGGCTCCCGTCCGGCAATCAGGGCCAGCCGACGGCTACGACGACCTCTACCTCGACACCATAGACCGCAACGTGCTCGACTTTGACTTTGAAAAGCTCTGCTCCGTCTCCCTCTCCAACATCAACGTCTACGCATGCCTCGTCTGCGGCAAGTACTACCAGGGCCGGGGCGTCAAATCGCACGCCTACTTCCACTCCTTGGACGAGGACCACCACGTCTTCATCAACCTCGAGACGCAAAAGGTCTACGTCCTGCCCGAGGGCTACGAGGTCAAGAGCAAGTCGCTCGACGACATCAAATACGTCTCCGACCCGCGGTACACCAAGGAGGAGGTCATCCAGCTGGACCGGCGGCGCCCCAACGCCGTTAGCTGGACCCTCGACGGCAAGGAGTACACGCCGGGCTTCGTCGGCATGAACAACATCAAGGAGAACGACTACCTCAACGTGGTGGTGCAGGCGCTGTCGCACGTCTCCCCGCTGCGCAACTACTTCTTGCTCGAGGACTTTTCTAAAAAATCCGAGCTCGTCAAGCGGTGCAGCATCCTGTTCCGCAAGATCTGGAACCCGCGCGCCTTCAAGGCGCACGTCTCGCCGCACGAGCTCCTCCAGGAGGTCGCCCTCCAGTCCAACAAGCGCTTCACCCTCACCCACCAGTCCGACCCCGTCGAGTTCCTCTCGTGGTTCCTCAACAACCTCCACCTCGGCCTCGGCGGCAGCAAGACGAAGCCCGGCAGCTCCATGATCCAGCGCACGTTCCAGGGCAAGCTCAAGGTCGAGTCGCAGGCCATCACCGCCCGCGCCGACGCCGGGGACCGCCTGCGCTTCGAGGAGGCCGCCGAGGTCAAGGTCGACGTCGTGCGCTTCCTCCTGCTGACGCTCGACCTGCCCTCGGCGCCGCTCTTCCAGGACGAGCTGGAGAAGAACATCATCCCGCAGGTGCCCCTGAGCACCATCCTCAGCAAGTACGACGGCAAGCGCGCGCAGGAGCACCACGCGCAGCGGAAGCGCTACCGCCTGCTGCACCCGCTGCCGCCCTTCTTGATGCTCCACGTCAAGCGCTTCTCGCAGAACAAGTTCGTCGCCGAGCGCAACCCGACCATTGTCACCTTTGACGCGCGCAACCTCGACGTCTCCCCTTACGTGGAGCCCAACCCCAACGAGTGGCCCGTCGGCGAGCCGATATGGTACGACCTCGTCGCCAACGTCGTCCACGAGGCGGTCCGCAAGAGGGACGACGTTGCCGACAGCGGCGAGGAGAAGAAGACGTGGAAGGTCCAGCTCAAGAACAAGGCCACCGACGAGTGGGTTGTCTGCCAGGACCTGTTTGTCGACAAGGTGCAGAGCGAGCTGCTCTATCTCGGAGAGACGTATCTGCAGATCTGGGAGCGGAGAAGAGTACCGGGGAAGAAAGCTGACAAGGGAAAACAGGCGGCGGCATAGAAGCATAGAATCTGTACAATGTGTAATACCAAACCCCATTTAATCAAGCCATATGATGCTTGCCGTCGTGTATCAAAACACCGGGAGAGGGAGTTGCCACGCCGCGAGAGGTGATTCAACAGGAAATGACACTCGCGGGCTCATCAGCCAAGGCGCAAGAGCATCCCCATTTCATTGCTTTCTTGTCTCTGATTTTTGTGGCTTTTGACTATTTTTTGTTCTGTTTCGTGAGGCGCCTCCTCCTTCCGCCGCCAGATGTGTGCCTTGCCGTTAACAAACCATCATGCTATAATACATTATCCACGTAACGAAAGATAGAATCGCAAAACCCGCCCTCCCCCCTTTCCTCCATCCGCCCACCGTATTCCAGGTCGAGCAAGATGAAAAGAGGAAAAAAGAAAAACAAAAAGGACACATCACATGCAGTTTGTCTCCCAGTTTTACATCCCAAGTAAATGTTTTCCCCATTCCGTGCAAAAGGACTCGTCCACACGATAAACTGTCCGCCAAGCCCCTCCAGAAAAAGAGAATGAGGAACCAGAGAGAAACATATAAGAAGAGGAACTCCAGAAAGTGAGGACGAAGACTGATGAAGCAACAAAAACCAACGGGTCTGCAACGTACCCAAGCGCTCTGCCCGGTAGTGTACAAGGGGGAATGGGAGGGAAAAAAAAACTCAATAGCTGATAACGAGGACAGAACAGGGACACATTATGGCGGTGATGGCAGGACCACATGGAGGGCAGGATCGAACCTTCTTCTGGTTCGCGCCCCCCTTTATTCGTAGTTTTGCTTCGAAACATTGGATGTGTGACGCTTGTCGTTGTGGTGTTGACTGGCCTTCTCGCGGCGCTGTTCGTCGATTGCGGTTCGTTGCTGGATGCTGGAATCGTGCGACTTGAACTCGAGTCGGGTGTTGGCCGGGAAATTGAGGACCTGCTTCATGATTTCGCTGATGTGACAAACGGCAAGTTAGTGAGCTGGATACACCAAGGTTTTGGTTGAACATGGGGTTCAAACATACCGAATCTTGAGCACGCGACCGCCGTCGGTTCGGGTCCAGATGCTCAAGATATCCTCGCCATTGCGCATGCTCAAAACGGCACCACACACGTCCTCTCCGGCGTCGCCGAACTGGTCACCAATCAGAGAGAGCAGAAGGTCCTCCCAGTACCGATCCGCCACGCCCTTCTTGAGGCGAACAACCCACTTGCCTCCCTTGCGATTGACCTCATCCTCCCATATTGGCCGAATGTCCTTCTTGAACAGATGGTAGTCGGACACGACGGGGAGGCTTGACGGCCGCTTGAGGTGGGAGTAGATCTGCCAAAACTCCTCCGCCGTCCGCACCGTGGCGATGCCGTGCAGTGTATTCTCGTACTCGATGAACCCGTGCGCCTTCGAGATCGGGGGCCTGTACCAGAACGACCATGCGTCTTTCAGCATGTGTACCGGGGTGGCTCCGGGCGGCGGTCCCGTGGCCTTGGACTCGGAGATGGGCGCCATGTTGGGCGGTCTGGCTACGGGCTTCGCCGCGTCCTTGGAAGCGGTCTGCTTGGCGACGGCGGAGCCCATGGCGGTTTCAAAGGGGTTGCCGCCCGATTTCGGTGTTTTGGCGGACCCAAACGAGCCAAAGGATGCGAAGGCCCCCGACCCCAGACCAAAGGCGCTGGACGCTCCCCCCGTCGGAGACATCACCGCGCTCCCGGGGGTGCTGTTGAAGGGATTGGATTTGCCATGCGACGACTTGACCGTGGCACTGCGGGAGCCGGGATCACCTCCTCCTAAGCCGCTGGCCCCATTGGAAGGCGTACTGAGGGAGAGCTTCGACGAGCTGGAGGCCGGAAAGTCAGTCACACCGGGTTGCGCTGTAGAGACGACGCATAGGGGGGAGAGTCATACTTGGTTCGGCGAGTCCATAGATTATCCATTAAGCCTTGTTCTTTGGGGGGTAGCGTCTGGTCTTTGCTCGGTGCTTGGGATGCGGGGAGTAGAGGGACGCCTCGCTAGGGAAAAGGATTTTTGAGGGTCGGACGGAGGTCGGAGGGCGTTGTGTTGCTGGTTGTGGCGTCGTCCGAGGGGAGGGGAGGTTACTTTGTTGTTCGGTGCGCGGTGTTCAGAGCTTGGTGAGAGGACAAGAGGGTGTAGAAGTTATGAATATGCGAGGCGGGAGGGAGGCGAGAGTAGGAGGAGGGGGATCCTTAGGAAAAGATGGCGATCGGAACGGCGATGGAGGGGCTTCGAGGCGGCGGTCGCAAGACGACGGTGATGTTTTGATTCGGACAGAAAGACTCTGGAGCGTATGCGGTTGCTGGATGGGGGCGGATAGTGCGCGATGTGTCGGGTAGGCGGTTGGTTCGGCGGTCGGGGCGAATTATGTGGTTGAAGTTGTGGACGGTTGGAGGTGTCTTTGAGGTGGAAGAATTCTGCGTGACATCGACAGTTGGTGAAATTTACGACCTTGCTAGCAGGTACATTGCCGGCCGTACCAAACGAGCGGTTACGGGTTACGGTTAGCGGCGTCTGATCGAAGCCCTCCCTGGGGCCCATTCTGGAAGGCCGCCTGAATCCACCTTCAGGCCTCTGCAGCCGGAACCGACAGCGCGTCTGACGCCTGTAGAATTTTCTGCCAGTGATGGATGTGTACATGCACTGCAGGTAGCTGCAGTCGGGAACGGGTGCGGGCAGTGTGAATATCCATGATACGGACCCATTGTGCATGGATGCGTTTTGACGTGGTAACAGAGCGGAACAATAGTTTTGTTTTCATCCATATCTATATATCAACAGTAATAATGCACCCCTCATATGGCAAAGACTTGGAGAAAGCCGAGTACGCGTGTTTAGAATTTCTTGATACATGTACGTCTTGTCATGCCATCTCCGAGATACACGTATTCCCAAGGCCCTTTCCGTTTGTTGAGGTTGACGTTCATACAAAACCTCAGACTTCGGAGCCTTTCTTATAGCACCAAACTTTCTATATCATGGAACAACACCTTTGATATCACGAACGAAAAGTCAAACGACTCAAAGATTGTCCAAGAAACTTTCGACAGACTTGGCCTGCGTCACACTGCCTTCTTAGCTTGGTTCTTCATCCAATATAGTATCACTATCCATTCATCCGATGGCTGCCCATTGGGCTTGATAGGGCCTCACCGAGCCTTTAAGACTCCGGCCTCTTGGGATTATTTTCCAACCACCGAGAGCATTGTCCTGGGCGATATCGACTTTGCGCTGTGTGGAAATAACAATGTGCACATCTTGAAGCTAGGGAGTCCAAGGCATATACTCCTAAGGTGCGGCATCAATGTCTCAGCCTCCATACCTTGCCGGCCGGGATGTTTATTGACTACTGCAGCAGCATCACTGGTGGCTTTTCAGCCTCCCTGGCTGTCGATTGGGTGATGTCTTAGTACAGTCTGGAAGGGTCTACGGTACCTACGTGCAGATCATGTCCTGCGGATTTGATGTTGGACTCAGTAAGAGTATTTCTGTCTCGTACCTTATGTTGGCTCTGCTTCGTCGCAATGCTGTACATACTCTGGAAGCACGCGACTGTCATTCCGTGGCAATAATATGTATCTTATACCTGAGCCATTGTTGGGTACCAAGCAAATTAAATCAATCCAAAGAGAGTATCATGAGAGAGAAATCATCGCGCAGTCTGAACTACCTAGGTAGGTAGGGAGACCATAATTGAGAAACAACACGATGCTTCGGAGATCCAACTGCACACCTACGAGACCATCTTCAGGGCTCCGAGCAGAGAGCAAGACCCCCAAGCGACAGCTCGCGTTACACCAGACTCTCAATGCAGTTCCGGAATATCAAGCCAATCATCTCCATCCAATGCCGCAGCTCTGGATTCTAGAAGACGCAGGGCTTTTCATCCAATACCACCAAACAAAAGAAACCCCCACTCTTGACGAGTCGTCGTCTCTTCGGAAGCTGCGTTTGCCATGTGCTTATCCAGCCATTTTCTTATCGCCCCTCAATGCAACCGATAAGAGCCGATAAGCCCAAAAATTTCTGCTGCGCGACGGTAGCAGTATTACCTGTAGCTAATAACGTCCGCTCGAGTTCCTCCATGTAATCAACCTACCAGCGATAATCTTCAAGTCGCAACGAAAACAGAGCTCCCACAATGGCCCCCAGCAAGACACGGACAGTCAAAAACAAACACGCGGGCTCCAAGAGCGGCGCGGGCGCCCCCGGAAAGGGAGGAGCCTCGAAGCGCTCCTCCACCGATGGCGTCTCCAAGTCCAAGAAGCCAAAGGGCCCCGTCGTGTCGCAGCAGGTCAAGGAGAAGAACCGCGCCCTGCTGATGAAGAGGCCGAAGAAGAAGACGTACACGGCGGAGGAGCTGGGGATCCCGACGCTCAACATGATTACGCCCGTGGGCGTCGAGAAGCCCAAGGGCAAGAAGAAGGGCAAGGTGTTTGTGGACGACAAGGTACGTTGTGGGCTTTGCGAAAATTGTACTTTCGACAGGTGAGGGGGGCGAATTGAGTGCTGATGGATTGCGATGAACAGGAGAGCATGACGACTATTCTATCGCTTGTTCAAGCTGAAAAGGAAGGCCACATCGAATCGAAGATCATGAAGGCCCGGCAAATGGAGGAAATCCGTGAAGCCAGAAGGCTGGAGGCTGAGAAGAAGTCAGCCGAAAAGAAGGCGAAATTCGAGGACACCAAGGAGTCTCTGCGCAAGAAGCGCAAGAGAAAGAACGATAGCGAAGGCGGCGATAACCTGAAGAGCATATCGCAGACAGGCTCAAAAGCGGTCAAGGGGTCGAAGAAGAAGGTGTCATTCGCATGATGCGCACTAGGCATGTAATTGGGAGGGGAGAGGGGAGGCTATGGAAATGTACATTGCATCGAATTGGTTGCTTTTCCTACGGGCGCATGGAGTTGGGGCATATCATCAATAGCGATACTATGGAGAATATTGCTTGGCATAAGAAGTATGAGGGGGCTAATCAACCTGGTACTCGGAGGGCCGGTTTTTTGTGGCAATTGACGTGACATGCAGGACATTTAGGGAGAGGCATGTCTGGCTTGAATTGCTCGATAGAATGAGAATGCGTTACTCAGGTATATGCCGTTCCTTTGATACCTGTTGAGCTCGCCCGAGGAATGACAAAGAACTGTCCTGCTCTCCGTCATCACATCAAACCGCATCCGCGAGACAATCATAAGGCTGAACCAAAAAAATGCGTGACGAATCAAAGTTCATATCTAATATCTCAAGTGCCAAAAACACGTTTGGCATACCACAACGCCGTGATGATACTGTGCTCGTGCGTCTGTGCATTGCTGGAACACCAACACAATATATGCCCAGTCCCTCTCCCTCTCCCATCCGTTCTTCCAAAGACGCCACAGGCGTGTTCCTTTTTTTCCACTTCCAAGCCTCCTCTGTGCCTTCCTCTTGTAGGGTCTTTTCTTCTGGGGGGTGGCTTAGTTGCCGGGATGGAAAGGGGGGAAAACAAATTAGGCCCAAGAACAATCGTTGTAGCTGCTAAATACCCTTTCCGCTGCGATTCTTTTCCGTTTTACTCGGTGGGCTCTCGAGGCTCACGAGGCTCTCGAGGCTCTCTTTGTTGACCACCACCTCTGCCGCCGTCACGTCCGCCACGGCCGCCACGCTTGTTGCCGCGCTGGCCGCCCTTTTCGCCGTCGCCCTTACCCTCCTCCTTCTCGTTGCTGACCAGGTTGGCCGTAGCCAGTCGCTGAGAGAGATCGATCTGGGTTCGGATGGTGTTGGCCAGGTAGCTGACCATGAGAACGTCCTGGATGTGGTTGTTGAAGTCGTGCTCGATCTGCGAAGCGTCGACCTTGGGCGCCAGAGACAGGGCGCTCATGAGATACTGCGCCAGAGCATTGTTGGGCTCGACGTCCTCGTCCAGCACGCCGTTGACCCACTCGCTGACACGGTCCAGAAGGCCAATGGTCTGCTCGATGGATCGGCCCAGGCTCTCAATGTCTGATACCAAGGGCGCAGTCCGTGACTCGACGTCCCGGGCGCTGGCGACAGCCTCGAGGGCGCTCTTCTCGGCATCTCCGTAAAGCATCTTGTGGGGGACCTGGATGAAAAGGCAGCTCTCGGCGGCTCGCTCGGCGTTGACAGCAACGGGGGCGCTGATGTAGCATCTCGTCTCAATGTCCTTGCCGGGCTCTGTGGAGATGGTGAGGTGGATGGCGGGGTGAGGGAAGGTGCCGGTGTCCGGAGCGGCGAAGAAGTTCTGGATCAGGGCGCTGAAGCTGTTGAGCTCGTGGGAGGTGGTGTACCAGCCGAGCAGGGACTCGCGGGGGGAGGCCTTGAGGACCAGGGCGAGCATGTTCTTCTGATACTCGACGTCGACCTCGACTTGGTCCTCCTCCTCGGTGTGGGGGATGGCGAAGCACTGGCGGACCTCGACCTCTGTGCCATCTTCGGAGCGGGTGCCTACCAGGGCGCCGATGACCCGGGTGGACTGGGAGTTTTCACGGACATCTCGTCGAACGGCGTGGTCGAGGATGGAGAGGACAGCCTAGTGACGCATCAGCCCAACGATCTCTGCTTCGTTTCCCCTCTTTTCTTTTCTCTGCCTGTATTTCCTTCTTGCATCCCTCTTTCGTCTCTATGTCGGGGCAGCTGAAGGGGCCATATCGTGACAAGGTGGTCTATACCTGAGGCTGGATCTGGACAGTGAGCGGGGCAATGTTCGTCTGGAGCCCGATATTCGTGTGAGCCAGCGGGCGAGCGAGGTGCAGGAACCGTTCCGTAGCGGCAGCCATGCTGGGCGAGAGATATAGTCGACAACGAAGGAGATTGTCGAACTTTTCCTCCCTGCGATGCGGTTGACAAGGTCGAAGAAGTGGGGGGTGGGAAGGGGGAGGGAGAAAAAAACAAGTGGCGCCGGCTGTCTCGAAAAATGGTTCGCTCTCGCTATTTTTTCTTCGCGATGGTCTCCAATTTCGCCGATTTTGTGATTTGCACGATTTGGCGGGCGGACGCTGGGGTTGTGCGCACTAAAACGGGTGCGGCAGGCACTTGCGACGAGGCTGCGTGGCGCAAGCACTGAGTTCAACCCCACCAATGTGTGGCTGGTGCGATGGACCCGTATATTCATGCAAGGCTGACAACCTTTACTCGAACTTTTTTTCCCGGCTTTGTCTGGGCGTGGAGTGTGTTACCTTGCCTTGCCAGTCTCGCAATCGAACTCGTTTGCAGCCAATTGAATTCCTTGTCAATCAAGCGCGATGGCAGGCCCTAGACGAGGTGGAAGCTTCAGGGGTCGCGGCTCAAGAGGTAGAGGTGGGAGCAGAGGCGGAAGCAGAGGCGGCAGAGGCCGAGGCAAGCAGTTCAGTCGATGGGGTCCTGACAGGAAATTCGACAATGCTCGTCTGGCCGAAGCCGGTGAAGAAGAAGAGTAGGCAATCATGAAATACCATTGGTTTGCTTGCGCCTGCGACTGACGATGCGCCTGCTATATAGGGAGAACGGGTCCGGATCCGATGGCTCAGACGCGGAAGACCAGATGCTCGAGGACGTAGCTTCAGACGACGACGAACCAGAAGCGCCAGCACGCCCATACATGGCGCTCCTGCAAAAGTTTCAAGACACAAGCGCACCAAGTGCCAAGAGAAGGAAGATCGCACACGACGAACCCTCGAACCGGAGCCCAAGTCCCGCGGTTCAGCAGCCAGAAGATGCGGAAGAATCCGACTCTAAACGGGAAGACATTGACGAAGCCGACGAGGAGGAGGAAGGAGATGATGCGGCAGCGAACCTTGATGAGGACCCGGGCAACGACTCTGACGACGAGGTGGACGCTACGGACCCGTTTGATGCGCACTTTGCCAATCCAGATCCGCAAGTCAGCGCGCAAGCCGTTGTCGCGGCAAAGAACGGAGAGTGGTCAACAAGTAAAGCCATGATACACTCATGGAGAGCAGTCGTCACCTCTCCTAGCACCGATAGCAGTGGTTCAGTACCACAGCCAATATCGGGGCTCGGAGGTTTGAAGCTGAAGCAGAAACTGCGCGAGCCGGCGAAGCAGAAGATGGGGGATCTCGATGCGGCACAAAAGGCCTTCCTGCCCTTACTATTCAACTACAAGGACATTCTGTTTTGCGATCGGACTGTCGACAACTCCCACAAGATGCGACAGGCCGTCTGTCTGCATGCTCTCAACCACGTATTTAAGTAAGCATGGACCCAGAGGGCTTCAGCTTCAGAGAATTGGACGCTAACTTCACCTCAGGACTCGAGACAGGGTGATTAACAACAGCTACAAGCTGTCAAAAGCTGGTGACGATGCCGAGCTTGAGCTCCGGGACCAGGGCTTTACGAGACCCAAGGTCCTGTTCCTCTTACCAACACGAAACTCTTGCGCCAAGATGATGAAGGTTATCCAAGAACTGGTAGAACCCGATCAGCAGGAGAACTTTAAGCGGTTCAACGAGTCGTACGTTGAGGGCGACGAGGCATTTGGGGCTGACCGGCCTGCTGACTTCAAAGACCTGTTTGGGGGCAACGACGATGACATGTTCCGCCTTGGCGTCAAGTTTACGCGCAAGACGATCAAATACTTTGCGCAATTTTACACTTCCGATATCCTCTTTGCCAGTCCTCTTGGCCTCCGCATGGCTATAGGATCCGAGGAAGAGAAGAAGAAGCCCGATTTTGACTTTCTCAGCTCTATCGAAATGGTCATCGTGGACCAAGCAGATGCCCTCCTAATGCAGAATTGGGAACACGTCGAATATATCTTTGAGCACCTCAACCTTCAGCCCAAAGACGCCCACGACTGCGACTTCAGCCGAGTACGCAACTGGTATCTGGAAGACTGGGCCAAGTACTTCCGCCAGACGGTCATCTTGTCCTCCTTCAATACCCCTGAGTTGGCGGAACTCCAGAGGCTCTACTGCCATAACTGGGCTGGCAGGGTTCGGTTGCAACCGGAATACCCCGGCGTCATCGGGCAGCTGGGCGTCAAGGTCAAGCAGACATTCTCCCGCTTCCAGTCCAGTTCCGTGGAGAAGGATCCCGAAGCCAGGTTTGACTACTTCAAGTCTGCCATCATCCCCTCTCTGGTGAAGCGATCCAAGGACTCGAGCGGAACGTTGGTCTTCATCCCTTCCTACCTTGACTTCGTCCGTGTCAGAAACTATTTCGCCACCGCTGATGAAGTGAGCAACATCACATTCGGAGTGATTTCTGAATACACCGAAATTCGAGAAGCATCCCGAGCGCGATCTCACTTCCTTACAGGGCGGCACAAGATCTTGCTGTACACGGAGAGAGCTCACCATTTCCGACGATATCAGTTCAGTGGTGTGCACAGGGTCATCTTTTACGGGCTGCCGGATAACCCCATCTTCTACAAGGAGGTTGCAGGTGGGTACCTGGCCAAGAGCGAGAGAGACATGAAGATTGAGCCTGGGCAGGGGACGGTGCGGGCCATCTTTTCAAAGTACGATGTGATGAAGCTGGAGAGGATTGCTGGGTCGAAGAGGGTTGGAAAGATGATTCAGGACCGTGGTGATACCTTTGATTTCGTGTAGCTCATTGTGTGCGTTTGGCGCAAAAGATAGAGATGGGAAATGATAGCATAATATGATACTGAGCAGATCGACTTTTGTTGCACCTGGCGCTGTCTGTCTGCCCTGGCGATCTCCCAGCCCTGAGAATACCCAAAGGCACTTGGACTGCCTTTTGACTTGGTAGATGTATGAATGTACATATAATATGTTTGTTGTTGTACATGATGCGCCCATCCTTCAAAAATGGCATGCCGCATCTCTAGACTCCTGTTTGTTTTTTCCCTTTCACCTGCCACAATTCGCATGACATCCATTACGCAAGACCAACACCGCTCACCTCTTTGCCCGCTCTCCCGACCTCACACTCTCAGGCACAATGTCCTCAGCCATGGCTCCCGCCGCAGCACTCTCCTTCTCCGCCAACTTGGCCGACTCCGCGCTCTGCGCCTCGCCCGCCGCGCTTCCGTCCTTGCCCTCAGTGCTGAGGATCATGAAGCGCTGCACCATGTCCTCGAGCTCCTTCTCGTCGCGGAACTTGGTCACCTTCTTGACGTTCTGCAGCGTCACGGGCGTCGACGGCCGCCCCAGCAGCCGGTCCCGCGCGAGAGTCTTGGCCGTCATCATGAACCGCGAGTCCTTCTTCCCGTCGACGAACTCGAGGATGGCGCTCTCGCCCTGGTCGTATGTGTTCTTGGGCTCGGTGCGGACGACGCGGGTGTAGCCTCCCTCGCGCGTAAGATAGCGGTTTCGCAGTTCGCCAAAGAGCTTCGGCAGAAGCAGGTTCGGGGTCTAGAGGCTCGAAATATCAGCAACTGAGATGAGGGGGGGGGGCGTGAATGCATGGGATCCCAACTAACGTATAGAATGCCCTGCGCCGACCTCCTGCACGGCTCATTGTTCCGCTTGGCGAGCGTTATCAGCTTTTCGGCCAGGCGCTGCGTCTCCTTGGCCTTTGCGTATGTGGTCTGGATGTGCTCATATTGGACGAGCTGCGTGACGAGGCCTCGCAGCAGCGCCTGTCGGGCGGACGAGTTGCGGCTCAGATGCCGGTACTTGACGGTGCCACCAGCCATTTGCGGCCAGTTGGAGCTGAGTCGGCGATTGGGTGCTGTTGGATCTGGGGATGCGAAGGGCACCGAAGTTCAATTGTCGCCCGACAACTGCTGTCTCGATTTCGTCGTTCGTCGTCGATTTTTTGGAGGCTGCCCGTTGTGAAGCCGAGACCGTTTCTCCACGGCTCCGGATCTTTTGATGGTGGGCTGCCGTCTGGTTGGCTGTAATTTTTTTTGCGGTCGTTGTAGTCTGGTAGAGGCATGTATGCGGTACTACTTGAAATTTTTGGCGGGCGGCGAATCTCGGGCCCCGTTTTCGAGCCATCGGCTGAGCAGCTACGTCAAAATCAACTCCAACAGCTCCAACATTGTCACTTCTTTTCCGCGTCAACTCCCGGCGCAGGCAGAACAATACCTGCTGCTTGGCCTAGAGCACTCGAAGATTTGCATTCTGAGGCAGCTGCGGAGCTCAATTGCACCATGAGAAGCCGCGCATAGGCGCATATCATTACACGAAGCCGCACCTGTCGAAATAATCTCTCTCTTCTCCTCTCATCGCACCCGTCTCATTCGCATCGTCTCTCTAGCGACATCATGGGCTTCGCAACCGGCTTCGTGAGTCTTGCCCCCTGCACCAGATTTTTGTACTTTCATGCCACGGCCGTTTCAGCAGCACAATGCTTACATGTTCTACGTAGACCGGCGGCGTGACGCTCACTCTGTCACTGGCATATCTCTCCGTCCTCGCCCACCAGCGCAGCCGCGAGGCACAGAGCCAATCGATCCGCACGCAGACGCTCATGATTCAGCACCTCCTCGATCCAGTCCCTCAACCATTGCCCCCGACACGATCCGAAGTCGCCGCTGCCCAGCGAGAAGCCGCCGTCGAGGTCATCAAACAACGATGGAACTCCGAGATTGAAAATGCCGTGCGCTGGGTGCAGCACACGGATTGGGACGAGGTGCGAGAAAGCATGGAGGCCAGAGCCGCGTACCTCTGGGCCAAGGCGACAGGCCGGTCTGTGGAGGAAGTGGAGAGGGCCAGGCGCTCTCTAGAGCCCGTCAAGAGGACGCAGGCCAAGGCCGGCGGCGAGATTGCTGCTGCTACGAGAGGGGCGTTCAACCAGGCCAAGGAAACAGCCGAAGCCATTGAGATGACTGCAGAGAACCGGGCTCTGGATGCCAGGCTAAGGAGCAAGAAGGCCCTTGAGGAGACGGCCGCCGATGCCAGGGAAATTGCGAGCGTAGCCGTGGAGAAGGGTCGGGAGACGGCCAAGGTGGTCGCGGACAAGGCGAAGTCTTTCGTTGGCCTGGCCGGGGAACAGATCGAAGAGATGGCTGGCGACAGCATCAAGTTGAGCCCTGTTCAAAAGGCCCTGAGTCAACGATACCAGAAGCCTTCGCCAGACACACGGACGACGGCGGAGATTCTCCAGGAGAGATACGTTCCTATGGATAAGCGAGACAACACCATCCTTCGAGGACTGTAAGAGAGCTTGGTGGGAGTTGGGAGCAGTTACACAGGAGACACAAGGGGGACCAAAAAGGCGTTTGTAGCAAGGTCTCACAGTAGAACACCTAATGAGACCGGGAGCATCTATACCTTCATGTATGGCGAGATAGACAATACACTGTACTAGTACTACTGAATGATATGATTTGGCTGCGAGAATGAAGCTATACAGCTGCTAGGGCCTCAGTCAAGGACAAAAATAAACGAGATGAGACGGAATTTGATGACATCAGCAGCTTGGAACAGCCCGAAACGGACGTGCGGCAAGAGTTGTGCCGCTCCCTGCGCAGAAGCACACGAAGCTGAAGTGCTGAAGTGAGCACTTGATTGAGGTGTGTTAAACCGGGGCACGCCGAGCAAATGCCGGGTGTTGTCCGGGTTGTGGCTACGGCCGCGGCTGCGGCTTTGTGCCTCGTACTCGCACTCGTACGAGTCTTGCCGATGGTGCAACACGCTATGGGTTTTCTAGTGATTTTGCGGTGGGTGGCATTGAAGCCTTGTAGGAGGTATAGTAGAATTATATGGTGAAGCTGAAAGAAAAGAAGTGAAAAATGATGTACCAGTATGTAAGTATTTGATGATGTTTTTAGATCCCCTACCAGGTACCTTACCCGTATCGACTTCATGGATCAATCAATTGCTCCGAGGCTCTCATCCCGCATTTGATACGCCACTTGCAGTTCCTTCTGCCGTAAGCCAACAGCCCGGAATAAGCAGGTACGGCAGGAATACGCCTGCAGCAGCGCAACATTCCATGTCTCATCCGCCAACGACCGCTGGAAATCTAGCGCATTATTGGAAAATCGCCACCTCTGATTGGTCGCCTTTGCGGCGTCGGGAGCGACATGCAGCGCCATCCGAGGCAGTTTCAACCGCCTGCAGTTCCTTCCGCGGAGCCGTCGCAGCGCACACGACAAAAAATCTGACCCCCAACATCGCCTTCGCCGCCTTCTTCTTTTTCTTCTTTCTACTTCACTCCCCTCAAGCTTGTTGTTTTTCTCTTTTCCCTCTCCTCGCCTTCGATATTCTCCTGTCTCGTGTGTTGGTGCTGGCATTGTGTTGATTCCTCTGCCTTTGGCGTTGCCGGTTAACTTTTTTTTCCGACTGTCTTCTCTCTTCTCCGCGCACTACCGGAAGGCGTCCTCTCGCAGTGTCACCATCCGCCTCTCTCCGGTCCCACCAACCCTCAATCACGACAACTCGCACAGAGCCGCGACGCCGCAATTGACCAGCTCAACATGTCCTTCTCTAGTCTCGTTCAGGAGCTCAGCCTCCGCGATGCCAACAACGCCCGCCGGCCTGGTCCTGCGCCCTCCGTTTCAACCTCCACCTTCGACGACCGGGCCTCCCACATCTCGCGCACCATGTCTGGATACGCCAGCACTGCGGCCACCAGCGTTAGCATCTCTGGCGACATCGGCAGCCAGCTCCATGGCGGCTACTTCCACCCTCTTGCTCGCTCATGGCAGTCTGAGCGCCAACTGACCAAGGTGAGCCGATGCTCTTGCTCAATCGATGCGCTGCCGGTCCTGTGTACTAACGCGCCTTGTCTCCAGTCTATGCTCATCTACCCCATTTTCGTTACCGATGGCGAGGACGACATGATCCACGTCGCTTCTCTTCCCGGCCAGTTCCAAATCTCCATCGACAGACTGGTCGGCTTCCTCGAGCCTCTCGTCCACAAGGGCTTGCGATCCGTCATGCTTTTTGGCGTGCCCCAGAAGCCTGGCACCAAGGATGCTCTGGGCAGCGCAGCTGATGATCCCGAGGGCCCCGTCATCCAGGCAATCCAGCTCATTCGCCGTCGTTTTCCTCAGATCTTCATCTGCGCCGATGTCTGCCTCTGCGAATACACCTCCCACGGCCACTGCGGCATCCTCCGCGACGACAGCAGCTTGAACAACCAGATGTCTGTGGATCGCATCTCTGATGTTGCCATCGCCTACGCAAAGGCCGGAGCGCACTGCGTGGCCCCCTCCGACATGAACGACGGCCGCATCCGCGCTATCAAGCTGAAGCTGATCGAGGAGGGCATTGCACACAAGACACTGCTCATGTCGTACTCTGCCAAGTTCTCCGGCTGCCTGTACGGACCCTTCCGGGACGCAGCCGGCTCCGCCCCCGCATTTGGTGATCGCCGATGCTACCAGCTCCCCCCTGGAGGCCGTGGCCTTGCTCGCCGAGCCATTGTCCGCGACATCAACGAGGGTGCCGACATCATCATGGTGAAGCCCGCTGGCCAGTACCTCGACATTATCAGTGACGCCAAGGATCTGGGCAAGGACATGCCAGTTGCTGCGTACCAGGTTAGCGGCGAGTACTCCATGATCCACGCTGCTGCCAAAGCCGGAGTCTTTGATCTCAAGACCATGGCTTTCGAGTCTACCGAGAGCATTCTCCGAGCCGGCGCCACGATTGTCATCAGCTACTTCACCCCCCAGTTTCTCGATTGGCTGGAGAACTAAATGCATTGCATTGAAGGTCGAACGGGGAGTGACGGGTTAGCATGGGAACATAAAAGGGCAGTCACAGCATCAGGGAAAAAAGAACAGGCGTTTGTGTGTTGGCATGTTGATTTGATGAAACGACTTTTACGCATTTGTCTTTCAGTGCTTTTTTCTACGTTTCTAGAGCGAGGCATGGGTTTTTAGCACAAAGGGAAAGGCATGATGTTTACTGATGATTTCTATTAATACAATCTCCTCTTGAAGAAGGATTCCTCTGTGTTCGTGATATATCACCATTCGACTTTCAATACTTTACGAAACAACTACCTCAAAATACGCCGGGCACAAAGGCGAGCAGGTTGAATTTCTCAACGCAACCAGCAAGGCTATAGAGTGCCAAGTGCGCAGGATCCTGATGGATAAAGTATTGCCTGTCCTCCTCGGACTCGAGTTCGAAGATGAAGCCGTGAGTAAGACCATCCTAGCCCACGCTAATCAGCATTGGCCAATATCTCTATCTAATATCTTCCATTCTCGACTCTCTTGCAGCCTGAGTTAAGATGCTTGGAAGACTCACGCTGTGACCCTCTTGGGACTTGTTGATGCCGCCCGTCAGGGACTTTATGTAGGGCTTTTTGGTGGTGGCGTGGAGGCAGTTGTCCTTGAGGGCCATGAGGGTTGTGCAAAACTATGTTGGGAGTGAGTAATCAATAATTTCAATGAATGTGGTATTGGTATATATGCTGGTGATGTTGTGGTAAGCTATGGGTTTGGTTTGGCGGTAAACGGACCTTTGCGATGTCCTCGGCCTTGGCATCTGGCTTGAAGCCGACGAGCACAATATGCGTGATGGCCATCTTCGCCAGCTACGATGTATATATTACGCCTATCAAACAGAACAAGGGGAAAGAAGAAGAAGAAGAAGAAGAAGAAGAAGAAGAAGAAGAAGAAGAAGAAGAAGAAGAAGAAGAAGAAGAAGAAGAAGAAGAAGAAGAAGAAGAAGAAGAAGAAGAAGAAGAAGAGGCAGGGCAGGGCAAATTGAGATTGTAAGATACGTAGTCAAAGGGAAGAAGAATAAAGACGTCGTAAGCCCGAACCTGCCTACCTACCTACTTATTCAAGCAATTCTCAAGAGTGAGGTATAAGCACACCAATCCCTCCCCCTCCCCTCCTCTCGTCACATTACTACAATCAACTCCGCTCCACTTTCAACCAGGACAGATTCATCTGATACGACATCACGGTGGAAGGATTAGAAGCTAAGAATAGAGAAGGATCGTGCGCCGGTATAAGACAGAATCGTGCTGACGCGGTAAATATCACGCACCATAGAAATTGATCTGTTTGATAATGGCCGTATGGACGTCGTCATGCCGCTTTGGCCAAAGGAGCTATAGAGCATGTATAACACCACCTCAGCTGCGACTATGCGCTTGTAATGCTTCGAATGGCAACATCGTGTAAATAAGCAGAGGGCTTTTGATCCGTCGAAAGATGGAGTAGGTAGGGATGCATAGCTGGTAGGTAGGATTGTGGTAGGTAGGTAGGTAGCTTCGCACATACATAGGTACGCTTAGCAACTTGGGACGCGCGGGACACCACAATCCCTATGGAGGATTTGTGCTTATATGAGTCAACCGGCAAAAACGGTTGGATCAACTCTTCGTAGAGCTGACGATTGTATTTTCACACACGTTGTATCATCTAAACAGTAACGCATTCGCTTGTGTTCATAGAGGCAAGGTGGTACAGAAGAAACGGAAATCTCAAAGGGTGAACAACGACAACATCAAGTATGGAGGTGGTATATACCGCAGATACGCCCTCACAAGTCAAAGAGTCCGAGGCATGTGGCACTGATGAAGCTGCATGCCTGCTCACCTGGCTAACATCACGATGCTCAGCACTCACTCCAGTTGCTGACGGAAAACACGACAAACGGCAAAAAGGTGCAAATCCTACTGGAAGAGCTTCATGAGATATACGGCATTTCTTGGAGTACGCACCTCGTCGACCTCGAAACAGACGAGCAAAAGAAAAGCTGGTTCCTTCGTCTAAATCCCAATGGTAAGTCGTTCAACCTCTTTCCTACCTTGACTGACTCTGGCGGCAGCTTTTCCACGATTATTTTGTACCGTCAACTGACGGCATTACCTAGGCCGAATCCCAGTCCTTCTGGATGTCACTGATGACGGTTCCGTAATCTCCATCTTTGAGAGCTCGGCAATCTTGAGCTACCTGCAAGAGACTCACGATCTGCGCAACGTCTTTGGCTTCGAATCGACACCTGAGAGGAGCCAGGCGCTCCAATGGCTCTTCTTTTGGCACTCTTCTGGCCCGGTGCAAGGCCATACTAGGCATTTTGTGAAAGGAGCTCCCGAGCCTACACCGTGTAAGTGCACCCACCTTCCATCTTGTTCAAGCCAAAGCGAGAGGTGTGCGAAAAGCTGTGGGCTCATCGGCCGTTACAGACGCAGCGGAATACTTTCAAAAAGCCATGCTTCGCATATACGGCGTCCTAGAAGCGCACCTCAGCGGACAACATAGTGGCCATCCTCGCCAATACTTGGCCGGCCGCGGCGAAGGAAAGTACAGCATCGCCGATATGGGCACCTGGCCTCATGTTCGAGCGTACCGGTCCCTGGGCTTCTCGGAGGAGAGCGACATGCGGCCCAGATTCCCCCATCTTCTGCAGTGGGTCGACCGGATCGCAGCGAGGCCGGCGGTGCAGAGAGGCATCGATGCGGGCAAGTATGACAGCGAGGAAAATCCGGGGCTTCGCGTCCGGACAGAATAGAATGAAGGATGCCCGTCTTCTTGTAATAGCTGACACATCTCTTACCTGAAATCTTGTGTGTCAGGCAAGACGCATCAGGTACAATAAACAGACTGCACAACTGGTCAGCTATCACAGTTATGTGAGCTCCTGGGAGATACTGTACGGAGAAGGCGTAATCACTGGTGGGCAGCCAGCGGTTGCAAGTCAGACAACGGTCCGCCAATCCATCGACTTGATACGGAGGTTGAGTGCGATCGGCCGTGGGTCCAGGAGACGGCCGTCAGGGTCACCGTGTCCATCGTCCGTGATGAGGCGTGCCCTCTGCGAGGGATGGGTGTATATTCTCGTATGTCTTGTTCATACCTGTACTGTATGGCCACTGCTGTGAGAGACGCCCGGCTAGTGTATCACAATAGACTGCTAAATTTGGCGAAAAGGCATGTAGATCAAACAAGCTTTTTTTCCTGTCTGCCCCTGGATGATGCATGAGCATGCTTGCAGCTGCAGGGAATGTGATTACCTCGAGCTGATGACGGCGTTCTGGTGGCGGCCAATCCGCCAAGATGACGATAAGCACATGTCTTGATTGTCTTACCTGTGCTGTAAAAACCTGGATCGAGTTGTAATAAGGGGTACAACTGAGGCACCTGTAGAACGTTCAGACAAGGCAAAGACATACGACAACGAGAGATCTTGTGTATCACAACACAACAGAGACAAACAGACCGTTGTGCACCATATTGTAGCTTCCGCTTCCGGACGACGATGTTTGCGTCCAGCATCTCGAAAAGAAGCGGCCCAAAGGAGACGCCCATTGACGCCCCAAAATTGCCTGGTTCAGCTGCTTGGGAAAGCACTCCGCAATGAGGCGATCTATGTGGCGCCGTGGGGGCCGCTTGCCGAACCTTGCCAGCTCGGCTGTTTGGCGATGGATTCAAGCAACAAACAATTCTGGAACGTTTCCGCCACGCAGCTTCTAGAGTACCGTAACTCGTATTTCAGAGGTAAGGTTCAGTTTAAGCAGCTCGACTAAGGAATATTGATCAACGGCCTTGGGCAGATATGGATGCTGGAGGGGGAAATTGGCATGATCCGTACCTCGACTTTTCCGGTCGAGCGGCTTCAGCTGCAGGCACAGAACATCTCAATTACGGACTTTGGTGTAAGTTTCACGAGTGGAGTGCAAACTTTCGGATGCCACCTGAACTTTCTCGGTCAGGTCGACAGCATGATAGAGGTATGTACCTAGAGGTAAGGTAGGTACGCAGTGAAATCACATGTACCTATAATTCTTTCTCTTCTGATTTACCCAGATCGTGACGAGATGCCGAAATAAGGTGTTCCTTCTCTAGATCTGGTGAGACCAACACCAGACGCAGCTTCCCGTCAAGGTCCAGACGATCGACGTCCCTTCCTCGACACCTCTCCAAGCCAAGCCAAGTAGCATCCAAGTATAATTGAAGCCTTGTCGAGCGTGTCCACACAGCAATTGCCTTCAATCCCATTCAGACAATCGCCTTCCTCGCGACAACTCGACGGGTACTTTATGCTAAAACCCCATGAAATGTGGAAACCCGAAACCTTCTTGCGTGCGGCAGGAGCCTCTCACACGGATCTGCGTGCAGGGAAGATATCGCCATGCACGGAGCATGTACAGTACCTTCCACAGTACGGAGCCCCGGAGACATTACGGTATTGATCCTCTCTTGCTCTCCTTTAGCTTCACATCCTTTCCTTTCTCGTCTTCTCCCTCTTTGTCCTCCTTTGCCCTCTGTTCCCATTCAGATCCCTTCGTCCATTCGTCGTCTTTTTCTTCCCCCTTCTCGTTCGTCTCTTTCTTCCAGCCTTTCGTTTTTCCTCATCTTCATTCCTTCCGTCAGGCTTCTGCGGGAGAGACAGTGGCAGAGAAGAGTCCAACTTGGCTCTCTTCCCCCTCTCAAGCCACAGTCCTTCGCCTACCTTACCTTATCTTTCCGCAACCATTCTTTAGGTACCTTTATCGTACTCTCTTTCGTCTTGGACCTGTTCACCAGTTTGCCTTTCGGAGTGCCCTTGTGTTCTCTGGCCCCGAACGGTTTCACATACGCCAGTCAATGACCAGGCAAGAGATCGTGCCACTCGCTTCGAAAAATCGTTCATTGTCTATAGACGAGCCGCAGGTCGAGCGTCCCTTGATACCCATCAGCTTTGTTATTCGAGATCTTGCTCAAGCTCTTTGAGCAGAGCGAGTTTACGATCCCTTTTGCTTCGTTTCCACGAGATGAAAGATCACAGTTCCACCACCAATACATCAGCAGAGGAAGAGAAGATGGGGCTGTTAAACGAGAGGAGAGGGTCAGACGCTGGGACAGATTCTAGTGACAGTAGTACTGGAACTGCAACTGGTGCCGGCATCGCCACGGCCCCCATTCATACCGATAGTCGTTTCCAACTTGGCATTCTCAGCCCATCCGCGGATACTCTCAAAGCACCACTTGGATTCCTTCGATCAACACCATGGCGCGTTCTCGCAGTTCGCTTCCTCATTTTCCTGACGCCTAGTTTCCTGCAAGGGCGCCATGCTCGCGAGCAGATATGCCCAGCTAAGCTATCTCCAACTGCCTACCTCGATGGCATGCGTGGTCTGGCAGCCCTCATCGTCTTTTTCTGCCATTACTTCTACCAGGCATTCACAATCGCCGAGGGATGGGGCTGTGGCGAGACCAACTACCACATTCTCAAACTGCCATTTCTTCGTCTTTGGTATCAAGGCCCACCGGCAGTTTGCGTCTTCTTTATCATTTCTGGATATGCACTCTCATATCGACCTCTCAAACTGATTCGAAGCGGAGCCTGGTCGGACTTTGCCAACACCATGAGCTCTCTCGTCTTTCGACGTGGAATTCGGTTATATCTTCCCACGGCAGTCTCGACGTTTATGATCATCTGCCTGCTGCGCATTGGCGCTTACGAGTGGACTCGAGACTTTGCAAACGACCGCAAATACATGAAGAACATTGTAGAGCCTCATCCGGCCCGCATGGAGCATGCGTATGCCCAGTACAAGGACTGGATGATTCACATGTTCAGGTTCATTCAGGTCTTCAGCTGGGACAAGTTTGGCGGAAGCACTTGTAAGTGAAAAATAATAGTCTCCTTTCTATCTCTGGCAAATGCTGTAAGAGTATTACTGACACGTTCCTCTCAGCTTACGATGTCCATCTGTGGACAATTCCTGTCGAATTTCGATGCTCGCTCTACCTCTTTCTCACCATTATTGGCACCGCCCGTCTGCGCACCACTGTCCGATGGCTCACGGTTGCCTTTGTCATGGCCATCACATATCGTAACAGTCGATGGGAACTTTTGCTGTTCTTCTGTGGCATGCTCATTGCCGAGAATGATCACATCCGAGGCGCGCACGTTCCGACGCCCAACCCGGCCCTGCCGATCGAAGAAAAGTCCCGCCCGGCGAGGAACAAATTATGGCCAATCTTCTGGGCTCTGTTCAGTATCCTCGGCCTGTATCTGATGTGCCAGCCAGACGGCCGGGGTGAGATAACCCCTGGGTGGATATGGCTGTCGTCCCAGATCCCTAAGTGGTGGAAGGAGGAAAGGTATCGTTACTGGCAGTCGACAGGCGCCGTCATATTTATTGTCGCGGTAAGCCACTCGCCTCGCTGGCAGCGCTTCTTCAACCTGCCAGTTGTTCAGTACTTTGGCAAGATCTCATACGCCATCTACCTGATGCACGGACCGGCTATGCATGTTGTTGGCTACCACTTCGAGAAGTGGGCATACGGCATAACTGGAGTCGAGGGATATTGGTACAATGCTGGCTTCGTCTTAGGAGCTTGCTTCTGCATCCCCACCGTCGTCTGGTGGGCAGACGTCTTCTGGAGGGCCATTGACATCCCCACTGTCAAGTTTGCCAAGTGGTTTGAGTCAAAGGTGGTAGTCAAGGCGTGAGAGAAAGATGGGTGGAAGTGAATAATCCAAGGCTGAATGCCCTATCCGATTCGAAACCTTCGACGAGAAAGTCGGCAGCTCGCATGGCGTTAATAGCGGGTGATTTTTTTCTTTTTCCTTTTTGTTCACGTCTTCAGTCTATGATTGCTGGGTAACTCTTCCTTCCATACGAGATACCTTCCGTAACGTCGATGCTGTGTATCTATATAAAGGGGCATCGTGTTGTCGATTTAGGGCATGTACGGCGCGAAACTATGTTGATAAGAAATCTCAAAAAGCTTGCGCCATAGAGATGCCAGAGATGTTCCGAGCCGTGAAGCCGAGAACCATGGACGGCGAACAAGAAGATATTGAAGTGTTTTCACTTGGCGCCGGATGAGGATCATTGCTCCTCGTCCCGCGAGTACACCCTCCTACCGCCCACCCAGGTCTCCCTGACCTTGAGAGTTCGAAGCTCCTCAACCTCCATGTGCTCTAGCGGCGCATCAAGCACCACCCAGTCCGCAAATGCGCCGCGTCTAATTACACCTGCGTACTGCTCGATGAAAGCTCCATAGGCAACATTCCGCGTGAAGCCCATCAAGGCCTCATCCAAGCTAAGAGCCTCTTTCGTGTGCCACCCTTCAGACGGAGCTTTGGGGTCTGGCCCAAGGCCCGTATGTGGGCTCTTTCTTGTGACAGCAGCGTAGATACCCTGAAACGGGTTTGGGGGCTCAACGGGGAAATCGCTGCCCAGGATGGGATTGATGTCGAGCAGAGACTTCATGCGGTAGGCTTCCTCCTCGGTCCTCTTTGGGCCAATCCTTTCTTCGGCGTACTTCATGTCGGAGGTGGCGTGCGTGGGCTGGATAGAGGGGATGATACCGAGGGCGTGCATGCGTTTCTGGTCATCGGGGTGGATGATCTGAGAGTGCTCGATGCGGAACCGGTGTCTGGACTGGCACTCTAGGAGGTCTTGTTGCCCGCACTGTTGCTTCAGGGCCGCTTCAAAGGCGTCGATGGCATTGCGATTGGCCAAGTCCCCTATGGCGTGGATGTTGACCTGGAATCCCTCTCTGGCCCAAGATTTTGTCACATTGATGAGGGCTGACGCGTTAATGAGGAGGGAGCCCGACGTCCAGGGATGGTCACTGTAAGGCTCGAGCATGGCACTTCCCCAGCTACCCAATGCTCCGTCTTCGTATGGGGAGAATGAAAAGGGTTAGTGTTGGATAAGTCTATAGAAAGCTCCAGGTGACTTACCAGCAAACAATTTGACACTTCGTAGTCCAAACATGCCATTCTGATGAGCAACCCGAGGCGTCTCTTCGGGACAGAACGTGTTTCTCTTTGCACACTCGAGCATGCTGTAAACCCGGACAGTCCAGTCTGGAGAGTTTGCCAACTTTGAGTACAGCCGAGCGTTTTCAGCAGTCACACCGGCGTCGTGCATTCCTACCAAGCCAACCTTGTTAAGCTCCTTCATGGCTGAAATGACGGCTCGGGCTTTGTCCTCCTCGCCGGGTTTCGGCCACAGATCCATAACCATGTCTATAGCATTGTCGCAGAAGACTCCTGGGCCGGGATCACGAATGACATCGCCGCCAGGAACATTGGGGATCTCTTCAGGGAGGAGCTCCAAGACTGCCTGTGAGACCCAAGAGCAGTGAACATCGATTCTATCCAGCATCATGTAAATTCCCCTGAGTTCGTCATCTTCTTCAATGTCATCCTACGAGCCCCGATCAAGGCTAATGGTTAGTATGCAAAATCACTAATTGTTGAGAGCCTTTCTTTGGAGGATCGGGCACTTACAGCGGTAGGCATGCGTCCAAAGGCAGATTGGTCCCAGCCGACACCACGAAGCCAATGGTCTTTGGTGCCAGCACCCGGATTCGCGGCAAGGTATTTTTTGATGCGATCCCTCACATCATCGAGCGACTTTGAGCCAAAGAGATCGACAGAGTGAAGAAACTCGCCATACTGCAGCAGATGCCCATGGCCGTCCCAGAGGCCGGGAATCGCATAGCCGTCCGACACAGAAACGTCGACTCCTCTTACTCCATGCAGAGAGTCTCGGTCTTCCCGGGTCCAGATATGACGGAACAGGCCGTCTACCACAGAGAAGCACTCAGCAGATGGGTGTTCGGCATCATGAGTCCTCACGCTCCTATAGCAATAGACGGGAAGAGGGTCATACTCAGAGGTGGTGAAGAGGAACTGGTGTTGCTTGAATGAATATGCAAAGACGGCGGCAGTGATGGCCGAGACGAAAATGCCCCAGCGAAGGAGCGGTGACAGAGCCATTTTTCTTCCTGGCGCTGGTGTTGAGGCTGCTGGCTCTGCCCAGACAACAACGCAGATGAAAAGATCGTACAATCATCAATGGTTGGTACGGAATCTACCCTAGCATGTTTGCAATGCTTACATGTACGCATGCACCCGTATCTCGAAAAGTGGTCCTGGAAAGCTTGATGAACGCCCTTCAAAGGAATGTTCTCTCAAGATTGTCCAATGGCTTTCTCGCGGCCCTGGTGGCGCGATGCGTTATCTCTGACCAACGCGGATTCGATTCCCATTTTGATTTGTTGGATCAGGTTCGTTTGCTGTTTGTCAGGGACTGGGCATGCGGACACTAGCATGAACCACGAGATATTAGCACGCACATTGCCTGAAATGGCGGGGTGAATGAATGAATGACTGGACGGGCCGAGGAAGAAGGAGGGGCACCCTGTTGAAGAGAACCCCTCCTTGGCGTTCCTGCGACAACCTCACGAGGATATTGATGCTTTGTGTTGAAGATGAGTAGACGTAGAATAGTTCGGTTGAGATCGAGGTCGAATTCATGATTTACGTGTCAAAGTGTCAGGTGACGTTCAAATGGCTTACGTATTAGGTAGGCATGCTGCAGGAAGGAGACGATTGCTGAAACAAATCGTTCCTTCCCCATGTGATGCCAGCATTCATTGTCAGCTAGGATAGGAAAGAGCACAAGTCATAAAGAAGCGCTTTCCGGCAATTCGTCAGCTTGCTACTAGTAGTAGCGACTTTCCTTTGTCACATCCATCCCAATTGGGCCAAACAACCAACTGCAAGACAATCCTTCTTCCTCTTCTTCCCTTTTGCTCATCTCCGTCTTCTTTTTCTCTTTGCTTGCTTCCTAGCCTACCTCTCTTGGCCACTCAATAGATTACAAACACCGCCGCCGAAGAAGCAAAAGTTACATCGGCGACTGAGCCAGTCCTCTCGACAGTTCCTTGACCCGACCCAGCACAATTCACAGCCATGGCGACGCCAGCGTCAACAGCCGAGCTCGACGCTCTCCTCCAGACTCACGTCAGCGAGCCCATTGCGCCCGAGAAGCTCTTCCCAATCCTCTCCACTGCGCCCTTTATCCCCTCCAAGACGCTCATCAACGCTCGCGACGTTGGCGCCGTGCCCGGCAGCAAGATCCCTCCTGGGCGCGTTTTCCGCTGTGGCACCCTCGAATATGCCGGCCAGGACCCCGACACGGTGGCCTGGCTCAAGGGCAACGTGCGCCGCATCTTCGACTTGCGCAAGCCAATTGAGCGAGAACACGGCCCTGACCCCGAGATTGAGGGGGTCGAGAATGTCTGGTTTCCTGGGGCTCAAGAGTACAAGACGCCGAGCCTGGCCGACTTCGCCAAGGGCGACGGCAGCGCCGCTTGGAAGGACCAGTACATGGCTGTTGCACTGACCTATGCGCCGACTTACAAGGCGGTGCTGGAGCACATCAGGGACAGGCCTACAGAGCCGTTTCTCTTTCATTGCACAGGTGAGCGACTCGCTTCTGGCTGTGTATTGTCCTCGTATAGCTGACACCATGGAATCCAGCCGGGCGTGACCGCACTGGAGTCCTCGCCGGTCTGCTCCACCACCTCGCCGGCACGGCCACCGACGATGCCATTCGTGACTATATGCTTTCCCGCGTCGGCACCGAAGTCGCTCGTGACAAGCTTTTAAAGTTTGCTTTGGCCAGCGTTGGCACCGCCGACATGGAGACGCCTGGATTTTACAACCTCGTTGAGCTTCGGCCACAGTATTGGACCGCGTTTCTCGAGGGCCTTGAGGAGAAATTCGGCGGCTGGGATGGCTACATCACCAAGGGCTTGGGGATCTCTGAAAAAGATCTTGATACCATAAAGAAGAACATTCGCTCTTGATCTTTGCAAATGCAACTGTTAGATTAGATTGGCGGTTGTTCTGCATTGTTGTTTATGATACCATAGACGCTAGAGGAGATGTACTGCTGTTACCGGCAGACAAGAAGCGGGTTGGAGCTGGTTTGGCCTAAGAGAGAGCTCTGTTGGACATGTAAATTGTTTCCACCTAGATCGCTAGACTCTTCAAGATCTGTCGAAATCTTGCAGCCTGTGAGTTATCGTGTTGAACAACGAACAATGCCAACAATTTTGCAGGTTGGAGTTGCTAGATCTCGATGACAGGCCTATCAGTGACGCACTACTAGCCACACATACCCTCCACCAACGCCACACATGACGTCTCAAGCCACAGGGTCCAAGACAATCCGGGCAGGCTAAATTGAACCATCTTCAAACAAGCTTACTGCAAGTGACGTAAAATGACGGACCTCAACCTGGACCAACACCAACTCCGTAAACAATGATTGGTCGCATAATAACGTGCAACTCTGAATGCCCTGCAATAAGGCATCAATCTAGCTATTGATACCATCCATAATTCGATATTACGGACTTCCGAGAAAAAGCCTGATTGATTGGGAGGGCAAATTACGTTGTGATCGTCGTCTTGCTAACCTGCAGGGTATCACACGAGCCCATCTCACTTGCATCATCACAGACACCCCAGTTTCCATCCATCAACTTCCATCCAAGCATCTATATAAATCCCCCCCTTGCATCCCAACTTCCATCCAAACTCATACCTACACAACCAATACAACATCAATCAGAACACATCAACCTAAACCTCCTTCTCAAAGCAACAAATCCTATCAAACAGACATTGCTATTCTTGAACAAACCAACAACATCAAATCATCCAACAAAATGCCCTTCACAACTCGCCGCCGACCCGCAACCACCACAACAACCACCGCCCGGCCCTACCGCCGCAGCATCTTCGCCCGGAGACAGCCTCGCGTCGTGCATCATCACCAGCAGCGAAAGCCCACACTCAAGGACAAGGTCACCGGAGCGCTTACAAGGCTCAAGGGAAGCTTGACTGGTCGTCCTGGCGTAAAGGTATGATCCGACCACAATCACATTTCTTACATAGGTATCTCCTGTTTGATTTGCGGGACTCGCTGGCTGACATGAGAATCACAAATCTAGGCCGCTGGAACTCGCAGAATGCGTGGCACCGATGGTCGTGGATCACACCGCCGCAGACGCTTTCTGTGATTCATGGATGGAAGGCCCTTTGACCTTCTTACATCACGACGAGATGATGACGCAGAATGATACCATGATACCCTACAGAAATGGCAGTTGCCATAATTCACATTCCTTTACTTGAATTAATATCTATTGAACTATTATCTTGATTTCTCTAAGAGCCTCAAATTTCTGCCGACTATTTCCTCGTAACTCCGGTGTATTATACTCTATCAAAGCCAACTGTAGATGTGGGCTCGTGTGCGAGCACCATTCGAAGGCAACAGTTTCCAGGCGAGCCCTTGCGTAGAAACCACTCTGGAAGCACCATGATTATCCCATTCTTGCTTTTTTTTTTTTTTTTTTCTTTTCTTTTCTTTTCTTTCTTTCCCTCTTTCCCTTTTCCGCTTCAAGATATTCGGTCCGTTCCATTCGTTTCCTGTCCTTCGCCAACCTTCCTATTACCCTTTTGACCTTCCTTTCTTGCACGTTTCTGATCTTTGATTCATATCGCAACTCCAACATGTTTACCACCTCCATCATAGATGCTCTCCAATCTCATATTACTGCAGCTCATCAATCTCGTCAGAATACGGGATCGCTGGCCGGTAAATGGGGGCAAGGCGAATATGTTGACGGCGCCGCGCTTCGTCGGTTGGGCGTCGAACGTGGGACTTGGCGGGCGACTGGGCTTCACAGGCAGGCATGGACTTGGCATCTTCTTCACGCGTCCTCATCAGCGTGTTCGTGTCTCGAGGGGACAGATACCGAGCCGAGGGCGTGTAGTGCGCCGCAAGCTCGTCGGCTTCTTCGCCTATTCCACGTCGCTTGAGCTCGCTATAGCATCGAAAGGCTATCTCGAGCTCTTCCAGATCCCTCTTGCTCGGAGATGGGTGCTTCTTGGACCATTTGGGATGGCCAGCTTCCAAAGAGGGCGCATCCCGCAGAAATCCAACGGCAATGCGATCAGTATTCGGCAATGGTCGCAGGTGCGCCTCCTGATCAAGAGCTTTCCCGAAGAGAACGGCGTCTTGCGATGGGTCACTAGACAAGTCAGTGGCCATCTTTTCGAGGCTCATCTGCGCTTGCATTTTCGAGCAATGCTCGTTGACACTATCCCCAGCCGTCGGGGTCTGTACTCTGTGAAGATTAATTCGGGGCGTTGATGCACAGACGGGGGAAGAGCTCAAGATCCTATCTTCGAGGTTACTCTCGAACCCCTTTTCGCCTTCAAAGGGGTCGATGATGAGGAGAGAAGATACGCTAGGCCCGAGCATGATCTCCATCCTCGCGCGACTTTCAACGACACTTTGGTGGAGATGAGAGGCAGGCTCAGCAAAAGGGTCATCGTCCATGGATCGGCCACTCCTGAGGGCGTTTCCGTCATTGGCAACAGGTTTGCGAGCTACACGACCTCCCACCATCTGCTGGACCTTCTTTCTGTTGAGGTTGTCTCCTTCGTTGAGACGTATCTCAATCGTGTCAATCAAAGATGATCTTTGAAGCGGCGGCGAGTGAAACACCGGGTGGGAAGTTAGCGGACCGTGAGGGTCATGACGAACAGGCTGCTTCGTGAGCTTGGCACGCGGTTTGGCTGCTGGTGTGCTGGATGTTTTCACCTGCCATCGGTCCCACGCACTTGACATCTTGGCCAGCATCCGTGAAGGCGTCATGCGATTCACTTTGGAGACGGGCGACTTGCTGGCCTGAGCCTTAGAAGGCGACGGCTTCAAAGCATCGGTCGCAGCCAACATGGCACACACTTTCTCCTGAATCTCATCGGCACTCGCCGCGACAGCGCAGCCTTGGCCGGCCATGTCGCCTTGAAAGAGGATTCTCGGAGCTCCGTCCATGACGTTGTGTGGAAGAAGACAAACCGTTTCCGAGTCTTTCAACACGATATATGAAGAGCGATTGGCAGACTTTTTGACGGGATCTGCGAGGGGGCGGATCAAGTTGAAATCTTTGCGCTTGGGGGACGAAGTTGAGTTTGTACGAGGCCTGGGGGTCTTCGTAAACTTATGAGGCGACGTCTTCTGGACTCGAGGAGTGCCTGATCGGTAGCTTCTGCTGTTGCTGGTTGTCCGTTCCTTCGAAGCGCCCGGGGAACACGAGGTGATGCATGGATCTCTGAATTGAGCTGCAGACGGCTCAAGAGCTGGAGCAGTAGAAGTTGGGGAGCCGAGAATGTCCCTCTCTGGCACGTGTATTGCCTCTTCTTCTGCTGGCAGCTCTGAGTCGCTGTCATCGAGCAGTGCGCTTGCAATATCATCGATGCTGGCTGCTTGGACATTCTTCTGCGACTTGGTGCCATGCTTCACGGGGTCGTAGGAGGTATTCGCGGACGGTGAACGATGGTCTATCAGTGAAAAGTTAGTTTTGCCAGTACAAGACTGTGAAAAAACAGATGACATACCCGGGTTTTTGGCCGGCAGCGAATCAGTCGAGATCCTGGAACGGTGAAGGGAACTTAAGGATCCAAAGAAGCTCCTCTTCTTCCCGTAGGTACGAGACGGAGGCGCCATTTCGAGGTGAGGTCGTGCTGAAGACGACGAAAAGAGTTATGGGAGTGAATGAGCCAGTAAACTGAAGACGATGGGAGATAAAGACCACGATTAACAGGGAATGAATGACGAAATGAACGACGGAAGGAAATAAACGAGTGAATGGGAGTCGGTCAGTCAAACGAGTGGAATGGGGGAAACTCTTGGTGAATGGCGTGATGGACGGCCAGAACTTCCCCGGCGGTCAGGTGAATAGTTGATAGTCGAGAACAGATCACGCAGCCAGCTCTGCGCGAGCGATGAAACTCCAGTGACGCCTAAGGCCGGCCACCAGGATCATACATACGGTCTGGGCGATCGGCGCGGAATCTGGGGGAGTTCATGTCCCAGAGGCGAGGGTAAGCGAAGGACTTGTTGGCTTGAATGAATGGAAGGGGAAGAGCTCAAGTGCGAGGGGGAAAGCGGTGCAGCTTGAGAGAGGGCAGGGTGGTGGGTGGTATTAGGAGCCCATGATTTGGCGAGGGGGAGGAAGAGAAAGAGGAGAAAGAAGAAGAGAGAGGAAGAAAAGCCGAAGTCGGTGGAGAGGAGAAGAAATGTTCCAGTCAGAGCATGCACCTTTGTGGCCTGGAGTGCAGCAGAGCTCAGCTTTTCTTCAGTGGTCTTGAGGGAGCGACAGGCCTGAAGTTGGCGACTTGGCAGGTGACGAACAGCTGCCCAGGGGAGACGATGCCCCTGAACGAGCGGAAGGAGCCACTCGTGACGGTTCCTGATTCACTGCAGACGAAGATTCGCCTATTATGCATGTGAATACGATTACGAGAGAAGCGAGTTTAGAAGAGCTTTGATTCGCTTCTGCTTGACGATGCTGGAGCTTGAGATTCACAAACGATTTTCTGAGAGGGAGTGCAAGACGAAGGGTGGTTAGATGTGAAGTCTTGTTCATTCTCTGCCAGACCACAGAAGATGTAATTATATATATATATGTACCACCTGTATCATGGGCAGGGCTTTGAAGATGAGAATCTGCACTAAATGGCTTGCAGATGAAGCATGGCGAGACGTCGTGGCCAAGATCATGTCTGAAAACACTGCCAAGTTTGACGCCAAATCAGACTTGGGTTGTTTGTAGAGACATATACTCGAAGTTGAATCTACTGTCAGATGTAATGCAGTATATGAACAAGATACATTTGTCGGTATCGTGCTCCATTTCCAAATAGTGTCATCCGTGTCTTATACCCCTTCCTCCTGTGACCTGCAAAGCTGCTCAGCGAGTGTCCAGCAGCACTCTTCAGCATTCATGATTGGCGACCCTTACACATTAGCATTTTTCATTTACGAGGCCAGACAGCAGCAAGAGAAAGAATTGTCCCTCCAAAACCATCTACGAAACAACAACACCATCTCCGTTGTCCGTTGACATGCTCAAACCCGCACAGCTCTGCACCTTCAATGTCGTCACTTCATAACCCAGCACGTGACATCCTCTCTGCTGCTAGCGCGCCTTTTGCATCCCTGCCCAGATCCCACGATGGACCGGGATCGGGGAAAGCCGTTTTTTACATCATCGTGACCTGACCGGCGAGAGACAAGTCGGGACAGCCCTAGGAGGTGAGAGAGAGAAAAAAAAAAGAGCAAAAAAAAAAAAAAAAGAGGTCCCAGCTCGGTGCATCAATCACCCCACCGGCCCCAACAAACAGAGCTTCCCTCCTGTTTAGCACGCAAAGGGAGCTTCATTAGCTGTACATTTTGACTGTCCTTGTTCTTGATCTGCGATTCGAAAAGACAATTGCAATTGGACTTGTCTTGCCGGAGGCGGTTTTGCTTATACCTGCCAATCGCTGCAGGTACGGACTCTGCGAGCTCCGAGCTCCGCTATCTCCATCTTACCGGCGATTCCCTTCCACGAGCTTCGCCGCGAAATCCCGCCACTTTTATCTCTTATCTATTGCTTCTTTGTGCAATTCTCTACGGACGAGCTACGTATAATCTCAGGACAGCTACGTCGGTGCCGAAGGGGAGGAAATATTGAGGACTACGAGAATCACAATTACAACGCATCCTACCTACACAATGCTCCGAACGGCTTTCCAATCCCGGGCGATACCCTTCAAAGAGGCCAAAAGCGCATCGGCGCAACACGGCAACCCATTGAGAGACATCTGGTCAAGGCTCTTCTCCTCCCAGCCGATCGCAAAACCATCTCAGACGACTACCAGCAGCAGCAGCACATCATTATGGACGACAAGATCACATGCGGCTCGGTTCTGGCGGGGAGGAGCCATGCGGCACGGCGCCAGGATGGCTGAGGGCCTCTTCGCAAGAGGAGCCGCACAGAGACGGAGCTTCTACTTCTCGGCGTGGAGGCGCAGCGCCGCGCAGGGCGCCAAGGAGGAGAACCTGTCGTTGAGCGGGCGGTTCAAGAAGCTGTCCAGGGAATACGGGTGGTCGGCCGTTGGCGTATACTTTGCGCTCAGCGTCCTGGATTTCCCGTTCTGCTTCCTGCTGGTGAGGATCGTCGGGACGGAGAGGATAGGTACGAACGAGTTTCTTCCTTGATGATCTTCTCGTTGTTTCAGATGCTAATATGAGGATGGGCGAAACAATAGGTCAAGTCGAGCACTACGTCGTATCAGCAGTCGCAAAGTTCATTCCCGAATCGGTTCGCACGCGATGGCACGAATGGCGACAGTCTCTGAAGAAGGAGGAGGAGCAACGACTGGGCAACAACGACATTAGCGACAAGGTCGAAATGGTCGGCTGGGGAGTCGAAAAAGCTGAGGAGCGCAACAAGGAGGAAGCCAGTGAGTCTGAACCGCCCCCTAGACGCCCCTTACCATCACCCCCCCTCCTCCCTCTTGCATACACGAAATCGACCCTACTTCCACAACTGGTATCACGGCGGTGGAAAGGACGGCAATTCGAGAGAAGGGAAAAAAAAAACATGTGTCGTCTTGGCGAAAGTCGCCACGTCATGGCGTGGTTTTGCTCTTCGAAGAGAGCATGAGAAGGGTGTAACCTGCCAACGAAGACATGGCACGATGTGACATGTGATTTAAGAAACAACGAAGGCTAACCACTTTGTTTCTTTCCTCTTCTTGACAGGCCTGGCAACCCAGCTAGCCCTCGCGTACGCCATCCACAAGAGCTTCATCTTCGTCCGGGTGCCCCTGACCGCGGCCGTCACTCCAAAGGTGGTCAAGGTTCTCCGGGGCTGGGGCTGGAACATTGGGAAACGAACTCCGCGATCATGAAACAAAGGTCGCATGAGAGAAAAACTCAAAAAGACTTCTGAAACCCGAGCCGGGATATTCCCTTCTCCTACAAATCTGCATGTATTAGCCCATGCTCATCCTCTGTCTTGTCTCGGTTTTTTTTTTTTTTTATCACATTTTGTAATATCATTATCAATGTTTGTTTTAGACGGCAAAGGAGGAGGGGGGGAGGAGTGAGTGGGGCAGAAAGGAATCTGCAGCGCGAAGACACATGCAGGCAGGAGTACGGAATCACAATGCATGTAAGAAAGTAAGTACTATAGACCTCTGGTAATGGGGGCGTGTTGGGGGCAGGAAATTTAGAACCTGGGGAGGCATTCGCCAGAACCCCAATCTGCAGCAAGAACAGCATAGAAATGAAGGGGGTGCACGCAGAGTCTCGGAAATAGAGCGAGGGACAATATACAAACTCGCAGTGAGTTTCCCGCTTGAACGCTGCATGCTTGACAAGAAAGCACTTAGATGAGTAGTCCACCAGCCATGTCTCTTCACCGGCTCCGAATCCGGCATACTACCTATGGAACATGGAAGTCCCCCGAGACAAGAATGACCTGTAAGACCCAGTCTTCCACGGCTGTTCGGCCTCTCGTATCTTGATTCTTTAAGCTTGATCACCGACATGACGAGCCTGACAGCTCCAAAAGAGAGGGATTAAAGAAACAAACGTCTGATAGCGTGAAAAATCTTGTCAACAAGGTGCATTAGTAGCGGATGGGATGGAGATAGACGAAACCACAACAAGGACGCCGCCGATATCGTTGACATCAGTTCACAGAAGCCGACGAAAAGAAAGGCGCCACCCCCTTTCCTGTCACCTCTCACTCTCTCCTTTCCCTTCCCAAGAAATGCAAGAATTCCCGAAGGAAATTACCGCTGGGCTAGTTCCCGAATTGCCTTTGAGCGGACATCCGATCCAAGACCAGAATGAGTAAACCCCCGTCATCCGGGGAAGAGGGGAGAAAAGGAAAAGTGCCCCCAAGAGAAAAAGAGAAAATTGATGCAAACCCTCGTACGAAAAGAGTAAAAACCGCCGTCCCGTCCCAGCGGTTCGGGAGTCGGAATGGAACGTTGATTAGTTGAGAAAATTGGGGAACGTGAAGAGTGGAATTGGGTTGGTGAGCGCATGTCGTAAGATACGTTTTGAACGAGGCAAAGGCAAACGAAGAATCTCCAGAAATCAGATGGAAACTCGTCTGATCCGGAAGCTCGTGGCAATATTGCAGAAAACCTGGAACTTCCGAGGTCTACACCCTCGATTGACTCCGGCCCTTGGACGAAAGTCTCCATGCTCCATGCCAGCTCACCTGTCGGTTCCAGCCTCGTACAACTACAGGTTGAGAATTGCGAAGGAAACAAACGTAGTCTCGGTCCGACAGGACTGTTCTCGTACCTAAGCATGGGCGAAAGAGCATTGCTTCGGCATCTTTTGGCGAAACACAGTTCTGTGTCAACAATCCTGTGTCAACATTCCTGTGCCAACAAGTTCAATTCGGCGTCAGAAGGGGAGTGTTTGCACCGGATATACCCCCCCAAGGGGCAGGGCGAGCTAGAGGCTGGAGACAAGAGAGCCATAGTAACAAGCGGACGGACCATCTACTCTCCTCTCTCACTAGAGGGGTGGGCGGAGAAAGAATGGAAATGAGAATGGAAGAGGGAAAACGCCTCGTGCGCTCTAAAACGTGCTGTTTAGGCTTTCAAACCATCTTGACAAGCGGCCAAAGCTGGGGCCATAGAAGGAATGAAGCAATCCGGGCCGTTTGGGGGCCAAAGAGGCGTCGCCAGAGGAGCAAAAAAGCCGTAGTCTGGAAGCCAGCCTTCTAGAACAAATTCTAGGTTTGAGACATGAGTCGCGCGAGCAGCAAGCAGGATGACATTGCGCGATCTTGGAGACTTCACCTCCTCAGGGGGGAGGTTCGCAGAAGAAACACAAACATGAAGAATACTTCTGCGAGGTGAAAATTGATGCTTGTCCCATTATCGAGGTGGGTAGCAAGCGGAACAGACGGTTTGGTTTGATTGGCTTATGGAATAGTAAGTTGAAATGGGGAGGCGTCATGTGTAATCGCCGACTGCATGATTGGCTTTCTGATTGCGTCTTGGTGCAGGCAAAGGCAGATGGGGATCTGAAGACCGACGACTCATGCGTGGAGACTGCAAGGTAGGGGCGGTAGGAAATGAACGAGTGCTGGCCGAGGTCATGGCCAAGGTCATGGACATGATGATGTTGACGGGCAATGATGCTGTTCCCCGTAAACAGTCAGAAGAGTGACATGCTGCCCTGCGTGTGTGCGTGCCCGAAACCCACAGGCCACGTTGTGATGACTTCAGTAAGCAGCACGGCTCGCGGCGGAAGCTGCCTAGTTGCCCCGTCTCTGCTGCCGACACAGATGTGACGAGCTCTGAGTATGTATTCCGTCAAGGTGAGCTTTCTTCAAGAAGTGAAGACGCTAGATGCGACAACACGATCCCGGACAATCATACGGAGCCATCTCCGGTTGAATTGGCAATGGCACGGCGTGACAAAAGGTGACGACTTACATACATGGGCCATGCAGCAGAGCGCAACACAAGAGAGAGGCCTCGGCTCGCTTTGTGCGTCCCCTTTCTGCAGCTTAGACGACCAGCCTCCAAGCAGCACAGCAGCAACCCAAGCAAGCAAAAGAGACTGAAGTCATAGTCTCTCTCTTGGCCCCAGCAATGCTCTGCGTAACTGGAGCCACGTTGTTGCCGCTACTATATCGGGGACCCTCACGGCCTCCATCTTCCCCCTGGCCAGGAGTCCACAAGCCCATTAAATAGAGTTTTCAGGGAGCCCCGGCGTGGTGGAGCCGGAATCTTCTGGCGAGCGGCCGTTCACGCCTTAGCAAGCCCAAGGTTGCAATTGGGGCGGTCTGGCTTGGGGGCCATTGCTGATGCTGATGATGGCAATGGGCTTTCACTTTTTTGTATCAGGGCAATCTGAGATGACGGATGGCGGCCTAAACACTGCAAATACGTAGATGTAGCAGGAACAAGGAACGAAACAACACGCCGGCTTGCCAATCGGGCATGTCGATCCAACGTGCAGTCAAACTGTGTTCGGCAGCGCCCACGGTTTTGGTTGTTATACAGACAGACCAAAGCTGTCTTGACTGACTCAATGCCTAGCCTAGAGTCCAGACAGGCAGGAGAGCATTGCCGCTTTGAGAATCGCAATAATTCCGTTAGCATTCATAATGCCCAGACTGGCATTGGGTGCTGGGGAGACAAGATGCCAATGCCTGGGTAAACGGAGGCGCGACGGGGGCCATGATATTCGGCCTATTGGCATCCTGGGGACGAGGCCCGCATGCTCGCGTGGGTGATATGCGGATGACCGCGGTATCGCATTGCATATGCGGGCAGAAATGGGGGAAAATTTGCCGAGACCTCATACAGTACTGTACTCGTATGTAGGCAAATTTGCATCCGGAATAGCTGAACGAGACACAAAGGGCCGCCTGCTTGCTGCACGCTGCACGCCAGGCAGTAGTCCTGGATGCTGTCGCTACTCGTACCACAAGGACCATCCGTGGGGTGTAACATTGACTGCACAGGCGAAGCCTGAACAGCGCAGAGCACACGCACACGCACAACCTCATGCGGTTTCAAGTCTCGAAGCTAGCGATGTTGGGTGGTGGCAGCCGTTCATTCGCCAACATCTTGATCTCCCGAGGCTTCGTCCAGATAGGTGTTATTGGATGCGTGCCGTTTACTAGCTTGCAACAACAACTGCGGCAGCTGCGGCAGAGCCAGTAGGGCTAACCTGCGTGCGCCCATGCCTTTGGTTGGGGGGGAGGGGGGGGCCTAGACGGAATTCGATACAGGACCATCGAGAATCAGGGAACCCGAGTTTGGCGCGCACGTCTAGTCAAGGCGTAGCAGCAAGACAAAATCAAGCCCTGGCGAAACAGAGAAACTGGAGGAAACTGTCCGAAGTGTCGCGCCTCCAATTCTTAGAGTTGCGGGTTGCATATGCTCATCCCGGCTCGGCGAAGAACCGCGTGTGCAAAGGGAAGCGTCTTGGTGTGGTGTTGTCAAATACCCACGGCAGACGGGCCGCATTTCCAGGCACTTTTTGTCCACGGCCCAGGAACTTTTTAAATCTTCATGCCTAAGCTCCATGCTGCCACGGTCCCCTCTTCCTCGTTGACGAAGCTCATTGATGCAGCGACTGGACAGAGAGTGGATGGATAGGGGCGTGAGTACGACAGTTTCGTTTTCTCTCGCATACAGGTCGAGGCTGGCGCATATATCTCTCACCCCTCACCTCGCATGCAGCAAGGCGACTGGGCAGAGCAGCCCGAACTATTTGCTCGTGCATTGCATCCCAGCCCGGCAAATAAGTACCAGTCGCCCATCTCGATGCGGCGTAGGTACTTGATGCTAAAAGATCTGCGCTTGCCTTAGTGTGTGATTGAGGTGCAATGCGAGTCTGGTCGTCTGGGTATTTCCGTGCTTGCAGCTTGCAGCTTGCAGCGATGTGCGGCACGGCAGCCTTCTTGGCATTAACCGTGTTCCGTATCATGCATGAAAGCGCCATCCGGGCTGCGAGTAAAGAAACAGGTCGTTTTTGTGTGCGGTAGCCACACAACTTTGTGCGTGTCCCTGGTGGACCGCATCAGTTGCCTCGGACCCCCTCGGACTCCTCAATGACAGGCGCTCGACGCCAGGACCGATCAGAATCGGGCAACGAGATGAAACCCAAGAGACAAAGACATGAATCCGCTCTCCCAGAAACTCGGTTTCCGGGTCTCGGCGGGGCATCCTGAATATGGGGGAGCTGCGCGGGAATTTCTCTGGAGGCCGGCCATGGTTTGGCTCTGACATGCGTCGCCGGTTGTCTAGCGCCGCTACCGTTACCACCCTTGAGAGCTATCTGTTGGGACCAGCGTGGGAGCTAGCGTGGAGTTGCATTGCAGACGGGGAGAAGCTGCTCTGTGTAT